CTTAAGCCCCCTCTTCTGGGCAATTTCATATACTCATATTTTTCATGTATCTTTCTTGGGGAATCAATCCTACACATTTTACAACCTATTTAACAAGCTTGCGATATCCCTATATCATTGCTTAACTCTCATCCTCTCATCATTGATTTAACGAAAATTGGGCAGCATAACCTTTGTTTTCTCAACGTTTCCCAATCTAACAGCTTAGCTCCTAATAGACAATTCAGCTCAACATTTCCAATATTCATCATGCGTTCATAGCCTTGAAGTAAATAACATTACACAAGTTTAATTACATAACGGGGAACTTAGCTACAAAAGGCTATGACCATCCCTTGGCTCTCATCAACAAAAGAGATATCCAATGGCATGATCATAGGCTAAGTCCATCAAATATAACGAGATATACATACGTCAATGCTATCAATGATCAATCCTATACATGTAAATCTACAAAATAACATGTATGATCTACTGCAAATAAGGCCACTTGCCATCAGAGGCTCCTGCAGCTTCCTTACCTGAAAGGGGGTCCCCATAACACGGGGTGAGATATACGAATATATCACAGTAAACCAGAGGTCCTTGGAGATCACTCCACCCTAAGGTTCACTTTCGATGTACACATAATCATAATAGCTTAACACATTCTTATCAGCAAACATCACATGGACTTCCAAGAGAGATCCACTAAGGGCTGTTTCTCTTAGGCTCTTACCACATGGAGATCCACATAGGGCTATTTCCAAGGGAAGTCCTTTCCTCAATCTAGGAACCTCCAAGAGGGATCCACATAGGGCTGTTCCTCTTAGGCTCTAACCACATGGAGATCCACATAGGGCTGTTTCCAAGGGAAGTTCCTACCAATCATCCTCATCATAATACTATCACTCATAACCTCAATCACAATCCTCAACCATTACCTCATTCATTATTGCTACTTCTATAACCATTCATCAATTACTCTTAAACAATCAAACATCAACCAATAATCATCAATCAATCATAACATGTATCAATGCATGAATCATTGCATGAGCATACAATTACAATCATAATTACATATCACATCTCATAAACCATTTCTCCTCCATGGAGTATGGTGGAACACTCAATGGGATCAACCACAAGGTCCAAAGGTTTACCTTGCTCTTGAGCTTTTCTCAATTGCACACAACCCCAAGGGTTGGTCACTCCACTTGGTCAAGGAATACAATCAAACAATGCTAACAATGCAAGGAAATCCATAGTTCCAAGCCTAGATTTATCCAAACATCAAAGCATACTAAAATAACACTATAAATTCATTTCTACCGATTAAATGTCATTCCTAGCATTTTTCACAACATACTCTAAGCCTCATTCTTCCTTGAACATAGCCAATCTACTCAACATTTCATAAAAACCCTAAAACACTATTCATTAACCCTAAACTCATGCAAATCTCCAAGAATCATGTGAAAGAGAGTGGAAACTTACCACCAATGATCACACAATAGAGGAATGAGCGTTCCTCAAGCTTCCATGGAGGTAGAAACTCCCAAAATCCCAAAATCTCACAAATGGCCGAATTTTTGAGAGGCAATATCTCTCACCACAATGCTCCCCACTCAAAACTAAACTTAGATTATGAAAGAGAGGAAGATTTAGAGTGATTTAGGCTTTTGAATCACTCCAATCGGTTAAGATTTGCTCTCACTCTCTCTTCCTCCCTCCTTTCCCTTCTTCTTCTTTCTCCATTTCTCCTCCTTCTCCTTCTTCTTCTTTCTGGTGCCTCTGTTTCTCGACGGGGAATTGGGGAAAATGGGGCTCCTTTTTGCTTTCTAAGTCACTTACTTAGTTAAGTGGCTTATGTGGATATTGGTTCGTCTATCTATTCAACTCCATTAATTACCAAACTTTACCCAAAAGTCTGGAATATTATTCTAGGAATATTACTATTTTTATTTTTATATTTTGGGTACTTTTGTCAGTACCCATTTATACCCCTTAATTTTCACTAAGTATACTTTTTAACTCCAAAGTGACTCAGATTCATTTAATTAAGCCTTATACTTAATTTTACTCACTAAAACATGCTTAATTATTTAATTAAAATTAATCAATTAAATGCTTAAGTTTGGGGTATTATATTTCATGATGATAAATCATCATAAAATCAAATATGGCGTTGACCACGAGCCCAATGGTTCTAACAACACCCAATTTCATGGTACTATTATGTCTCAAACTCTCATCTAATGTCAACTATAAACCTGATGGTTTCAACAACACTTAGTTCCAAAATCTCATTTTTATGCCTCAAACTCTAATATAGTGTCAACCAAAGGTAAGGTAGTCCTGACGACACTGAATTCTAAAATCTCATTATCATGCCTCAAACTCCACTATAGTGTCAACCACAGGCATGGTGGTCTCAACGACACTAAGTTCCAATATTTCACAATTGATAAACACAAATATGCAATATATACAATAACAAAACTCAATGCATTATCAATTGCACCCTAAGAAATTTGTATATCAACCAAATATCAATTGTATCTGTAATAAAAAATTATAACATTCTTCCAAAGGTTTGATACCAAATGTAAGAAATCATAAAATAAGATTATATGAAATCAGAACATCAAAATGTTTAGGCTTACTTGTTAAAGACATGATTCTTGATTTCTTGAAAGGCGCTTCTTGCTTGCTCTAATGTTTCTGCAAGTTTTGAAATATCAGAATCTTCCTCTGTAGTTCATATCACTCCTTGATCATAACTATAGATGGGGCAAGTTTTGGAATGACTATTTTTCAAAGTACCGTGAATGCAGAAGGGACCTAGTCAAACTTATTAACCCTAGTCTCCTTTCTATTATAGGCCTATAGATTAGGCCTGTATGGTTACCCACACTAATCAATATTACAGATATCTAAGTCCAAATCAAATGATAACTTAATTAAATGGGTTTTATACTGCATCCCAAATGGATAATGACTTACCCCATTTTTAATAAAACAAAAAAAATTACAATTGATTGAATCTCCACAATAATTATAAAAAATTCTAAGAATGACAACCAGATGAAGTCCAAAAATTTAGTACGAAAGACATACTAAAATTTACTTTGATATAACAAACCTTAAACATGTACAGTCTAATAGTTTCTTGGGGAACAGACTTGTTATGATATAGGAAATAGAAATGTTGTTCTTGCACTAACAAAAAAGTATGGGCCCATGAGAGTTTCAAAAAACAAAAAAATAAAAGGTTGACAGCGATGGTTTTTGTGTGTGCAGGATGGAAGTGATTTATGCTGTAACAGCACCAATACATTTTCCTAGTTTCTTATTCTTCTTTTTCAAATAGAAAAAATTTGAAGCTTGTTTTTGTTGACATATCACAATTTTTTGTGTGGATAAATCATATGTATTTTATAAGAGACGATTTTGCTCAGGGCAAGTTCAGGATTAAAGCTTTAAATTCCTATAAAAAATGATACTGGAGATGATCAAACACATGTTCTCACCTCTCTTGCTCAGCTCTCATACATCAATTAAACTATCATCATTTGGTACATATCACAACTTTTAGGTAGCTTATTTGGCAGTCATGATGAATTTGTAAGATCTATTATTAATTTCTTTTTTCAAATTACAACATTCTTTATAGGAAAAAATATTTCTGTAATTGTTGTAGAAGTTTTTATTTGCACACATAATGTATTTCCCAGAATATATAGACAAAAAAAATTAAATGAATTTTATTATATGAGACTCAGTTTTTCTAGAGGATCCACTATAATTTTTATACGGGAAATGGATTGTCATATTACATGATAACAAATCAATTTTTCTACACACACAATTCAAGTTGGGTCTTCTTTTTTATTTTTTTCTCATTCCACTATTTAATGGACTCCACATATATTATATATTATGAGTGTGTAAGAAAATGATTTCTTATATAAAAATAAAATCCATTATTATAAGAGTGAGGGATAAAAGTGAGGGATAAACTATTCTCAAATAACTGCCGAAAAGTTAAATCCTCCTTTATTATGTTCTGTAATTTGTTTTGGTAACTTTTTCAGTGCAACTTTTACTTTTCCTCAGATATGCAGAAGTATAGTACCTTCCGCTATAAAGCATATACAGAGAGAAAGTTGCAACACAAAAAGTTAATTTAATGCAAAAAAAAAAAAGTTAATTTAAAGTAGGATTTGTTGTTAAAATGTGAGACTCGTATTTTTTTTTTTTTCAGTCTCAAGTAATTTTATATGTATACAATAGCATAAAAATAAAAAAGAGAATTATATTTATAAATTTTTTATTTATATACTATATTATATATTTTTAGGAGGCACTAAGTTACATTATATTTTTCCCAAAATACATAATATAATTTACAAAACTTTATAAAAAAAATTTGTAAATGGATAGTTACACTTACTTACTGTACCTATTTCAAACAAATAGACTAGTACACTTATCTTACACCAATCATTCACGTGCAATTCACAAATATACAAAACAGTTATTACAGCATTTGTGGAGATTGGTACGTACGAGCTCAATGATCGTGAAAACGCCAATTGTTGGTACCACTTGTCACAAGTCATTTTGATTTTTGCCTCACATCCGCTGCCACTTGTTTTTTCTTTCACTTTTTTTTTTTAATAAAAAAAAAAATAGTTTTTTTTTTTTTTTTTCCTCGCCATATATTCTGCTAAGTAAGAGGTTTTCTCTTTTACCTTGGCTCTGATTAAACCAGAAAAAGCCAAATGGTGGGTTCATTGGTAATCAAGTGGCTATCTTAAACACAAAATCCATTTATGAAAGTGTGGTTTTCATGGTCAAAGGAATGTTTTTGGTATGTGATAAACTCAAATAACATGTAAAAGGATATAAGAAAATGAGATGAAAAGGAAGAGACATACATGTATGGTCAGCCATAAAGAAACTCAAAATAGCTGTCTTTATACATTGACTGATAGAGGGTACCTAACATCCGAAGCTGAAAGAAACAGAAATTCATATCATCATCATTCACAACAAAACTCTTATGTAAGCCCATTTCAACACAGCCTGTAGGCTGTAAGAGATCCTTGAGTTTTTTTTTTTTTTGTTAAGAAACCGACAATTTTAAGATAACCAATAATTCCAACCATCCCATGTGGGTTCCTCCTCCTTCCAGTGAACTCTGTTTCTACTCACTCTGCTCTTTTTCTCTACCCTTTTTTCTCTTTTATCTTTTGTTTTGGTTGTGACTCTTTGAGTTAAAGCTGGTTTACTAAGAGAACATCTAGACCAGTTGCATTCTGAGAATCTGTTTTCCAGCATGTGGGAATCAGAGAGTGAGTCAGCAGCATATGGGGATGGACTTCTCACTTCAAGCAAACATGGTGTCAAGACAGAAGGGTTTGTGCAAAGAGGCCACTCTTGGTATGTTAAATGAAAAATTAGTATCCTTTGAAGATGTTAAGGACACATGGCCGAAAATAAGATTGAAACTTTCAGATAATTTTATGTTGTACTATTAATTTATCCATTTCATATCTTGGAACAATCTTGATTTAATGAGCATGTAAGCTGCTTAAAAAATTTAGTCTCTTATTCATGCAGGTACGTTGCAACTGATATTCCAAGTGACTTTCTAGTCCAAATTGGAGAAGCTAACTTCCATTTGCACAAGGTATCTCTATCTATGATCTTTCCCATGGTTTGAATTTATGTACTCTCTATTTTTATATTAAGAGATTGGATACTAGTTGAATTTTTTGTGTCTTTTTTGTTCCCCTTTCTTATAAAAGTATCCCTTGATATCTCGAAGTGGAAAGCTGAATAGAATCATAAATGAATCACGAGACCCGGATTTGAATAAGATAGTTATGGATGATATCCCTGGTGGGCCTGAGGCTTTTGAACTTGCAGCCAAGTTCTGCTATGGAGTTGCTGTTGATTTAACAGCAGTCAATATCTCTGGCCTAAGATGTGCTGCTGAGTATCTTGAAATGACAGAGGACCTAGAGGAAGGGAATCTTATATTCAAGACAGAAGCATTCCTTAGCTATGTTGTTTTGTCTTCATGGAGAGACTCCATAGTAGTGTTGAAAAGCTGTGAGAAGCTCTCACCATGGGCTGAGAACCTTCAAATTGTTAGAAGATGCAGCGAGTCCATTGCTTGGAAAGCTTGTGCTAATCCGAAAGGAATAAGGTGGTCCTATACTGGAAGAACCTCAAAAATTCTGAGTCCAAAATGGAATAATGATATGAAAGATTCAAGCCCAAGTAGGAATCAGCAGGTTCCTCCTGATTGGTGGTTTGAAGATGCCTCAATCCTTAGGATGGATCACTTTGTTAGAGTCATTACTGCTATTAAGGTAAAGGGCATGAGATTTGAATTGATTGGTGCAGCAATCATGCATTATGCAACTAAATGGTTACCGGGTTTGATTAATGACACATCAATCCCAGGTGATGAAGCAAGCAATTGCAGTATCAGTAACAGTAGTAGTAGTGGCGGTAGCTGGAAAGGTGGACTTCATATGATTGTGACTGCAACTATAGAAGACACTTCAAGTCTTCAAGCTAAAGAGCAAAGGATGATAATTGAGAGTCTCATCAGCATTATTCCACCACAGAAGGATAGTGTCACATGCAGCTTCCTTCTTAGGCTCCTGAGAATGGCAATCATGTTAAAGGTTGCACCTGCACTTGTTACTGAATTGGAGAAAAGGGTGGGAATGCAATTTGAGCAGGCTACACTGGCTGATCTTCTAATCCCTTCTTATAATCAAGGAGAGACTATGTATGATGTGGATCTTGTTCAGAGGCTATTAGAGCATTTTCTTGTTCAAGAACTTACTGAAAATTCGAGTCCAACCAGACAGTCTTCTGAAAAACATATGGCATGTAACCTAAATGCCAAGACAAGAGTGGCAAGGCTTGTTGACAGTTATCTTACAGAGGTGTCCAGAGATAGAAACCTTTCCCTGACAAAGTTTCAGGTTCTTGCAGAAGCTTTGCCTGAGTCAGCTAGGACCTGTGATGATGGACTTTATAGAGCAATTGATTCCTATCTTAAGGTAATTAATTTCTTAAATTAAAAATGTTATCTAATTTCTTAAAAATAATTTTGAATTACCTAGAGTTACACCTCATTATACTTGAAATTTTGGTAAAACAGCAAGGTGAAAAGCTGGGATTCATGCCTACCTTAGCATGCTTCTTGTTTCCATCATAATAAAGGAAAAAATTGATTGGTGGGTCATTTTTTCAGGGGACAAGATCTGTTTACAAACTTTTTTTAATTTTTTTTACAAATTACACTATATTTTCCCGGGAGAACATAGTATAGTTTGTAAAAGTTTGTATTCTCCCGGGAGAATATAGTGTAGTTTATAAGAATTTATAAACAAAAAAGTTTGTAAATATAACTGCCCTTTTTTCAGTGGCAAAACATTTGATTTATAGAGCATTTGTTTCTCTCCAGATTCTCCCTTGAACAAGATTTATGGTAGATGGTGATATTTACTATAATTATATCACAGAATTATAGCAAAATGTTTTTTTTTTTTTAATAGAAAACGTTGGCTTAATATTTTGAGAAGTAGGAGGGGTGTTAGAGATGTAATATAAAATCACTCATGTCTTTATCTATTGGTTTAAGCTTGGTTCATCATATAGTATTAGAATTTGTATGATCAAGTTGTTTAGAATTCAATCTTTACGGCCTCAAATTTTGGAATAAGAAGTTTAAATTCAGCGCAAGATTTGGGATAGGTGGGAAAAAAAATAACTTCTGATCATCAATTTTTTGGGATGGACTTGTTATCTGTGAAACAAATGAACAGGCACATCCAACACTTTCTGAGCATGAAAGGAAACGACTATGCCGTGTAATGGATTGTCAGAAACTCTCCATCGATGCATGCATGCATGCTGCCCAAAATGAAAGGCTTCCATTAAGGGTTGTTGTGCAAGTTCTATTCTCTGAACAGGTAAAGATAAGCAATGCATTAGCCACTAGTTCTCTGAAAGGTGTTGAATCTCATAATCAGCCAATGGTTACAAACCGGAAAACACTTCTTGAAGGGACACCACAATCATTCCAAGAAGGTTGGACAACTGCTAAAAAAGACATCAACACACTAAAGTTTGAACTTGAGAGTATGAAAGCCAAGTACTCAGAGCTTCAAAATGATATGGAAAGTTTGCAGAAACAATTTGATAAGATGCTAAAGCAGAAGCATACTTCAGCATGGAGCAGTGGATGGAAGAAACTGAGCAAACTTACAAAGATGACAAATGTAGAAAATCATGATATTTCACCCAAGATTTCAGCTTCAGCAGAACAGAACAGAAAGATTACTAGAAGGTGGAGAAACTCAATATCCTGATTCCTGAAAGATGATAAATTCTCAATATCTATGAAATTGATTCTTCTGTGTCCCTCCTTTTTCTTTCTTTTTTGTTCATATTTCATTCCTCCTTCTTCTTTTGAACAGTAAATGAGGCTTCTCTTCTTTCGGTTCCTTTTTATATCTTGTAGCAATTGCTACAAGATTCTAGCTAAATTGTAATATGTCACTCAAGTCAATCATATTTTTCCAGTTTACATTTACACAATTTTTCCTTTTGTTTATGATGCGCTAAATTAATACAGACAGAGAAAGATCATATTAAAACAACAATAAACTGACTTCAGACCAATCAAATTAAGTATATGTTAATGCTCAGTGAGAGGATTTAGAACATGGGATACTTAAAATCTTCCTTCTTCAAACTCCTGATATTTCATATTCGTCTCAATTTTATCTTAGTTTTGGATAAATAAAAGGGTTCGTTTTTTCTAAGTAAATGTAGATAATTTATCTACATTGATCTCAAAACGACGTTGTTTTGAGGCGAAAATTAAGATATTTTTATAATTATAATTTATTTTAGGATTATAATAGTCGTTTTTATTATAATTTTTTAATTTTTCAACTCAAAACAACGTCGTTTTAGTAGCGAATATAAATAACTTATCTACATTCACTTTATAAACATTAAAATCAAAAAAAATTTATAAAATAGCAGTTAATCTTCTAAAATATCTTTTTCACTAACCAATAGTGTAAAAACAGATTTACTATCTCTTTCTTTTCTTTTTTTATAAAACGTCCTCAATTTTAATCCTCTTCTTTTCGTTTCCACCGAACAGATACAACCAGCAAAAGGAGAGAAAAATATCAGAATATGTATACATACGTAAAATGGAAAATAGAATTATCCCAGAAGTGGTGAACTTACTACGAAGAAATAAACATGATTAGATATTCGAACACAAATCATGTCATCCTGCATAAAAACAGGGATAACAGTTGTCATGTGACAAGACAAAAAGGCTTCCATGAGTTCAATATAGGCAATAAGTAGACGGATTTCTTTTATGCTTTCATGATCAGCTACAGTCTATATATGCAGATTTGGAATAACTTACCGAGTGCACCTCAGTTGGTTTCTTGGCGCTGAGTTAGTAGGGTTGGACATGTGTTTGATTCTCGCTGAATGTATTCTTGGGGAAGGGGCTGAACCTTTAGCCATCACTGACCCCCGCACTCCGGATTAGTCTCATAACCGACTCAAAGAGTCGAAGCTTGTGGAGATACCGGAGGGAGCTAACTCGCCTCAAAGAGGTAATTAGAGTTAGATAATTCAAAAAAAAAAAAAAAAAAACTTTATTTGCATGAGAAAGACAGTCTTAACATTATCACTGATTTTCTTATCAACTCATAATTACAGCCCCTAGTAAGGGGAAAATACTCACTAATCTGTCCTCTATTTTTCTCTTTCTTCCCTCTTCTTATATTCTTTTTCTCTTTCTCCTCCTGGTGCATATAGGTCGGGAGTTTTAAATATTTTCTCTTAATTTAGTAGAAAACTTTTGATACATCTAATATACCAAACTCGTTATAACTGTTTATTAAAATGGTTTTTTTTTTTTTACTTTAATCCTTTTCTTTTTTTTTGTATTTCTCTCTATGTTTCTTTTAATTTTTCCCATTTAATAAATAGATGTATTGAGTTCCATATACCCGTAATATTAAAAAAATATCCCTAATTTAGACATTCGGCCCAGAACTATTTCTGGTGACAGTGATAATGAATGATTTCAAGGACTTCTATTGATTAGATATTAGGCATGAGCTTCTAGAAGCTGTCATTGGAGAAAAAAATATTTTCTGTATTATGAATGTATTGATCACTTAGTATATTTTTTATTAAATATGAAAAAATAACATATATTTACTATTTTTACTTTTATAATTTTTTTTTTTCAGTTTTTGTAAGAAAGTATATGCTCTCATTGCGTAAAAAATCTACTCCATTGTTGGTGTTGGAACAGTATTTTGTCAAAATGTCATGTTTTGTCAAAAAAAAATTATCCAAGTACTACGCGAACAGTATTTTTTACCAGAATGCCACATGTCATAATTCGTTACCACTGGTAACGAATTTCGTGGCCAATAATTTCGTGACACGTGGTCATATTGCAGACCAAATTCGCTACTAGTAGTAGCGAATTATGACACGTCAGCTTTTTTTCTACGAAAGTGTGTCACGTGTCAAAAAATCATTCACGAACATAATTTGCTACACATTATAGCGAATTACGCCCTGCTTGACACGTGTCATTCTTGCTGACTGCATTCTGACGTGGTATAATTCGCTACACTGTGTAGCGAATTATTTGCAAGCATATTTCGCTACACAGTGTAGCGAATTATCCCACGTGGTATTATGAGAAAATTTGCTGTTAGCGTGGCAATTTGGTAATTTTTTTGACCAAGCGTGACAAAATAGGCACTGTTCCGTTGGCGTTATGCTCAATCTCAATGTCAAATCCTTGATAATTGCATGTTTTGCTTGTTAATAAGAAGACAAAGACTTATTATATATATAAAAAGGGAAAAATGTCTATCCTTTTAAATGACACAACTTATATTCTTTCATTCTCACAAAGAGATGAGACACATATCTTTATTTTTTTTGTCAACTCTCTCTCCTCCTTTATCTATCTCTTTCTCTCTCTTAAAATGACATAACTTTACATCCTTTTCAAAATGACACACACTTTTTCCATATAAAAAAAAGACAAATACTTTATGTGTTGTGGCAAAGGATGGGTTAATCTAATTCAATTTATCCTGAAATCCCCAAAACAAATGTTGAATATTTGCTCGAATATTCAATCCACTCCATAGAGGAATATTCTGTATGTTAGTTATTTCTCCATAGAACCATCAAATTTCAAGAAAAGGCAAACTAAAATATCCAGGCTTTTATCCTTTTATTATGAGATGCTTGAAACTAGTCATGCGAACCCAATGTATATGATTCCTAATTTTAATTTGCTGAATATTTTCATTTCTAGAGGTGTAACAGTGAAAGCAGCAATACGAGCTCCGATTGTGGATCAAAATAATTTTAAGAGAATCTTATTATTATCATGAATACCAAGTTATTCATGCATCTTAAAAACTTGAAAATTTTGAAACTTTCTTTCAATGAAACTTGGTTTAGGCAAGCTCCGATTGTGGATCATAATGTGAAGTTGTTTATAGTAACATTCTCTTTAATTAGAACAAACTTTGACAGCTAATTTCACATACTTAAATTTATTTATTTTTTAAATTATGCTATGTTATTATAACTTAAAGAGATCGAAACGTGTTCGAAGATTATTTCGACTTTCACGCTTTGTAGTTATATATCTTGAATTTGGTAAGTGATGGCATGACTGAAAGATCGTAAGTTCACGTCATTGCTTTATGTCAACCTATTATGGACGTACACCATAGGAAACTAGAAAGACAAAATTGGCTAGACCAGAATTGTTGCATGTCAATTTAGTGTAGGGGACCAAACTAAAAAATTGGGAGAACTTAATGTCAAGTAAATTATAATTTTTTTCGTACAAATACAGGGTCGTTCCTGCAGAATTGCACGCAAAACATACAAAAGAGAAAATGAGTAAACATGGATTCTTAATAAAATGAACTTCAATTACTCAACATGTACAAACCAGAATACACCACTGACCCAACATTCATACAAAAACACTCAACGGACAGATACATAATAGCATCATAAAAAAGAAACCTATAATACACAAAAGCACCTCTCAGAGTCTCAATTACAACGTACAAAATAGAATTGCCTATCATTCCACCCTCTTAACACGTAAAACAAAGTACCCTTTACCACAAATGCTATATTCCAACAAAGGGCCCCAGCAACTCATGATGAAAACACCACGCTCCTCATTCAAGCACTCCCCAACATCCGAAACTTTCTTGGTGCTTTAGAGTCTATGCCAGTATGATATGCGTGCAAGCTTAGAAGAGAGGACAAAAGCATAAAATCAGGAATGAAAAAGGAGGGTGGAGAGTGGGACCCCAGTTACCTAACGCGCATGCATTCAATCACCAAGATAATTCAACACTTGAGGGAGAAAAAAGTGTCCTCATTTACAGCGCAGCCACCCACTACCATCTCCCCTCCATTCAATCTGTGACCTTTAATCCTCCAAAAGCTAAAAGATAAAAACTTTGGTCAACAAATTAAAATCCCAAACCCCAATTTTCTGTCATCGAAGTGGCAAAGTGCAGTACTACCTATTGCTGCTTTCACCCTTTTATTGCTAAGCTATAAACACACCTTGAGAAAGAGGATTAAAAAAGCAAGCATGCTAATAAGCTCAAACCAATCACGCAACAAAGCTAAGAATTCAAGGAATACAACCTTATTCACCATTCATGTATCCTTCAACCAACATACTATAACCACAATTAGCACTTAGTGAGATTTCACTCCGAGTGTACCAGTTTGGGACATCAAAGATTGCAAGTACTCGATAGTTCCATCAATGATTAACATCGGATGCTTTCCTTTTGCTCCAGGAATTAAACTCTCAAGAACTCTCAACGATTCATGGATTTTATCCTTTTTCAATTGAATATCACCCGCCATAGAATTATCTTCATTAGTTTGCCTGGCAGGATGCACCCGGCCACTAGAATACTTTGATTCAGCATCACTGAGATACTCATGGTTTTCATTTAGTCTTACCGAACAAGCACTGTCCACACGTGGTAGTAATCTATTGTATCCACTGTCAATTAACTTCTGCCTTTTGTTTGGCCAATCAGAGGTAGCAACCTCCTCCTTCGTATCCTCAAACTGTTCTTGCATCCCATAAGTAATTTTAGTAGCCAGTGGAGAACGGCCTGTACTTGTTACCTCATCATCATCATCAGAACCAGAATCAGAATCATCAGAATAGAGTAAGGCATTGATTTCTTCGGTGTCTTCATGCATTTCACTTTCTTCATTAACTATATGATCCTTATCAGACTCTTCTGGTGAACTGCATTTGGGAAAATGCTTTTGACCCATATTAGTTGCCCGTCCTTCCACATTTACATCATAAGCTTGAGAAAATTGTTTAGCAGTAACAATTGGACTCTGAACAAGAGGGAAGGCAGGACAATAGAACAACCTTGTCTTATTACCAGAGTGGTCAAAAATAAGTAACTTCTTCTGCAAAGATATATGATTTGCATTTTGCATAGTCCCTTCAGTATGTGTTTCTTTCAAACATGGTTCTGAATTGGGATACTGAAGGAATCCTTGCACTTCATTGGTCTGCTCAATCTTCAGGCTCGGGGTAGAAAGAGCTGTGAATCCCCGAAATGCACTGACAGCAGGAAAGATGCATGTGCTAGGATTCAGACATACTGAATGACCAAACGAATTGAGCTCGGGCAACATGCAGGAACAATTTGAGTAAGGTGATGACCAAGCCACGTGATGTGGGCAAGGCCAAAACCTATGATCCTTAACCATCCAATCCAACCAAAAAAATGACCTAAAGAACAATAGAATTGATCACTCAATGCTGAAAATGAAAAACTAGACCCTTTCAGATGAAAAGATGAAAAAGAGCATTTGAAAAAATGTACCAGTAGATGTTATGGTGCTTTGATGTGGGATCTTCAATAACTTGCTGCTTCACTCAGGAACAAATGATAGAAATAGCAAACTACACAAACTCCAGCTTAAAGAGAAATAAATGCAAAGCAATCTACGTGACAGGCTTAAGCAAATTACGGAAGTACTCAGCCTGCAAAAAGTTAGAAGATAGCATTCATCATCGACGACCTCATAAAATTAGCCGATAACAAATAACAGAAGCTTTAGTGTTCATTGATCATGATGTGTATGTTTTATGCACAAAATAGACATAAATGAAAGTTTTCATCAAACAGCTAGCTTCATAATCATGGCTACAGTTATAGAAAAGAACTACAATTGGAAAATACCAAGAATCAGCAACAAGTTACAAACCTGACAATCGTGCAGGGGTTGAAAACATGCTATCACTCTAACAATAATTGCTGGTTCACCTTCGATGCCATTCTCATGTTTTAATGTCCGAAATCTTGTCTGGCCTGCTGCTTGGCACACCATAACTTCTTTTGGTCCTCACCACACTACTCAATCAATCTGAGCGTAATGCACAACTCCAAAAAATTCCCCAATAGAATATGATAATGAAGGCACCAAGCTAATTATAAAATCAAAATCAGCTAGAACTAGAGAATTATATGACACGAGGACAACACTGAAGACACAAAATAACAGGCTCTGCCTTCACTTCCTATCTTTTAGCCAATTCTATACTTATCTGAAGAAATGATTAAACAGCGGCTGGCTTCCATGGCAGTAGATAAGAATAAGGGACCAAAAGGAACAAAATTGAGGATTTATGGGAATGGTGTGACCTATAGAATAACTTTGCAATACAAGTTCAAGCGTACAACTTGGCGGAACACATCAACCAAAAGACCAAACCAACGCATGCTGATTTCTTCCTGTGTGACTGAAGATATGCAGAACTGCTAAGAGCTTCTGGCAGATGCTATGCCCTCAACACCAATTTCCCTGAAACAAGATTACATCATAGAAAACATATTTGAATTTGACATACATAATAATAATAATAATAATAATAAGATAAGAAAAAAAGTGTTTTATAAACCAAGTCCTCCAAAATTATAGAAAAATGTTTTAAATGAGAAAACATAAATAACTATTGTGACAATGAAAAAACTCATTGCAGCATACAACTCAGCCCATTTCTTCAAAATAAAGCTGTAGGAGCCTCACCACTTCTCTCTTAATTTTCCAATTCAAATGGGAGAAAGACTCCCTTTTAGCTTAACAAGAGCCATAATAAGATAATAGAGAAAGTAATCAACACGCTGCTGACTTGTTGGCAACTAAGAAAAAGGGTCATGAAGGCCACTTAGCCCAGTAGGATTATTGCTCAGTTACTTAATTTAGTCACTTGAAATTTCTAGTTTTTCTACTCAATGATCAGGAATAAAAAATAAGAAATTAAACTACTCTACAATCCTCAAATTTCTCAGCAACCAAAGTATGTAAATTTAACGGCAAGATGATCCCAAAATATTAAAAAGGAAAAAAAAAATACCCCCATAAGATTGGATTTCAAACGCAAGTTCCATGACAGAGATCCAAGCCCCAATTCAATTAAAAACTTCACCTTTAACATGTTTTTCTGTTTACCCACTAGCCAAAGAATACATAAGAAAAACCAGCAACAAAAAAGAATATAGGATCAGATGAATCAGTAATTGAAGTGCTTACAGATGTACTAGAGCAGGTGGGTTTGGTTTCAAAATATGAGCAGAGTGAGAGAGAGAAAAGAGAAGGAAAGCAAAGACAGTGAACAATGAAGAAGGGTGCAAGCAGAAGAACAAAATGTCCAAAAGAGGTACTGGGGCAAGTGCATGCTCTGATTATATAGACTTCTGCACCCTTCACTTGGAGATTTTATTTTTACTTTTCTCCACTAATGATATTGGAAAATTGTTTTCTCCAAATCATAATAAGAAAATTATCTCAGGCCACATAGATATAAAAAGATATGCTAGTATTTTTTTTTTTCTTTAATTTGTGGGCTTCATATTTTTTGTTAGTGTAGAAAACAAAGTTTTTCTTATATTAAATGAGAGAAATATTATCCAATGATTTTTTTTTTTTTGATAATATACCCAATGATATTTTACTATTTCTTTGAGGGTTCATTTTTTATTTACATTGAGTATAAAACAATGATATTTTTATAATTATAATTTATTTTAGAATTATAATATTTTTTTTATTATATTTTTTAATTTTTTAAATTAAAATAATATTATTTTAAGAATAAATATAAATAACTTATTCATGTTCATTTCACTGTAGAAATATTAGATCATTTCTTTTATGAGAAAGTGAGTGTCCTTTTAAAGAACACACACTTATATCCTTTTAAAGAAGATAAAAAAAACAAACAATAGGGGGAGAGTGTAGAGAGAAAAGCTTGTAATTTAAAATTTAAAGAAAAACACTACATTCATATAAAAGGACCATCCTTTTAAATGATAGATATTTTTTCCTTCTTTTATATATTATTTTCCTATCATTATAAATTATTTTTTTCTCATTCTTTGATTTTCCCTCTCTTCTAACTTTTATCTCCTTTCTTTTCGTGAAAATTATCAGTAGTAACTAGTAAAGCAAGCCAACAATGCACTTCAAACCTCAAGTTGTTGATTAAAAGGAAAAAAATTTGAAGTTGAAACAATAAATTTAAATATGCAAATTATATTTTTCATTTTCGGATACAATAACGTAATTATTTTTTAAAAGGTTTGATGTTTGTCATTTTAAATGACACAAGTTATGTCATTTTAGGAGAGAGATAGGCACAAGAAATGAAAATAATGAGAGAGAAAATGGTTGGCTTTTTTTTTTAATTTAAGTTTTAAATAAAAAAAAATTATTATGTGTCTATCTCTCTCTTAAAATGACATAACTTTATGTCATTTAAAATGACAAATATTTTTCCTTTTTTTTAAAACACCCAAATAAACTTTACGCTTAAAAATATATTGAAGATGCAACGCCTTTCAAAAACAAATAATAGTTGGTTGATGATATGATATGCTAACTTGATATTATAAGTATATATTTTAAAAAGTGACTAATTCAGTTAAGTGTAATTACTATTTTTCTCATTAATATGATAATGTTTGTTAATTTATTTTTTAACAAAAGTTTAGAGAGAATTTACCTTATTTTAAGAGTGACAAAATGGATTGGTTATGATAGATAAGCTCAAATAACTTAACAAAATATATACGTTAGACAAATAAAACTGAGGACCGGTTATATTACCTACCTATTTTTTGTGTGGATATTGTCTACCTATTTAATCATTTTATCCTTATTACCTTTTTATCACCATTGATTATATTTAAATCAACTGTCAATGATAATAAACAATTAGTGTAATTAGTTGAGAAAAATAAGAGAGAGATAAATAAAATAAAAAATATTATTATATTTAAGACGTTGATTTAAATATAATCATCATGATAAAAAGGTAATAAGGGTAGAAAGATTAAATAAGTAGGTAACATAATTGTTGTGGACTTCTATGTGAAGCTCATTTATTATCAGGCCTAATAAAGGGCAATCTAAATACGAATATGATATAATCATAAGAGGATATTCATTAAAAACATTCCACAAATTTTAATAAAAACTTATTAATAATAAAAACTTATTAATAATCGATCACCTCCATAATTTGAACAAAAACTATTTTATTGATATTATCAACCATGGTGAATAAGAGTTTTTATCATCTTTTTCTTTTATTTTTTTATAATTATATTGAGGTTTGGACCTATAATTTCATATAAATTATCAAAATTTCCTTCACTAAGCACTACTTCACTCCTAATCAAAAAAAAATTCATGTGAGGAAGACAATGTAAAGCAAAAAATAAAGTATAGATATAATTTTTAATGCAAAAAAATACAGTAGTAATCTTTTTTTTCAATTTACAAGTTGTTATTCAGTTATTTGCATTTAGAAAAAAAATAAAAAATAAAACTTCGGATTTTTTCATTAAAGTTGATTCATCCCTTATTTTATTATCTAAAATACTTATGTAACCTCTGATAAAATGAATAAATAAGTTAACTAAATAACGAGCTCATTTTTGGTACTCGCGCAGCACATCTTCTTTGTCCAAAAATGGGAGGAAAAAAGGATTATGAAGGAATTAAGAAAGAAGGAAGAGATTTGAATGGGAGGAAATTTTTTTATTTTGGTAAAAAACCACCTAATTATTAATTGTTCCGGATCACTTAAAAAAATCCCTAAATAACCTATCGCAAGTTTTATATATATATATATATATATATATATATATATATATATATATATTTAGACAAGAGGGCCTTGGCCCATCTCAAGTTCTTTCTTCACTATCTATCTACTTGTATTTTTTAAATATTAATTATTCATTTTTTTTTATCAATTATCCATCTAATATTTGACTTTGTAAATTGCTTCTTAACCTTTAAATTGCCCTTATCGTGAAGTATGATTTTTAAGCTATATAATTATTCTTACATTATAAGTTGTTATATACGCGAAGTAGTTTTTGATTTAACTAAGTATTTACACCAATACCTTGATTAACAATACATAATTCATGGTTGAAGATTTAACCATAATTTTCTGTCAACATGCAACTTGGACTTCCCAATCTAATGTACCAACAATTAAAATTTGATTGAAATATGAATTGATGCTGGTGGCCCTAATTAATTGGTTATTATCAAAAGCATGAGCATTATTATCATACGGTTGAATAGTTATAATTAGAATAATTATGATGACAATAACATTGCTGAAACAAGAGTGACAGTTCACAAGAGACATAAACATGTGCCATTCACTCATGAATAATCTAATATACTCATTAGCAACCTAATTTGATGTAAATTAGCCATCGTAATGTAAACCAAATTCAAGGGCCCAATTGTCCCCACCAAAGTGAGCACATTGTGACAAGGTACATGGGATGAATAATGCAACAGCATGACGATAAAAATAAGACAATTATGCAAATGCAAGATCCATCAAGTGCAATGCTCATTTTTAGCCCACTAACTACAATTATCCAATCTAATATATTACACCCGTGCATTTGATGAAAAGCCAAAAGAAGAAGAAAAAAAAAGACCCAAAATTTAAAAGGGGTCAATACCACCCAATAATTTATGTATAATACTGTAAATTATATGCATTGTGCTACACACCATTTTGCTTGGAGTGGAGGGCACAAGCACCATATACCAAAATCTATGATGAGGTCTTTCCTTTCGGTTACAACTACAACAAAGTGCGGTTGGATTTCAGAGACTGAATGCTAGAATTCAGGGATTCCCTTTAAACTTTATCAATATTCACTAAAGAACATCTATGGAATTGGATTGCTTTTTTCGATTTTATTTCTTTTTAAAGGCAAATGCACATACCCTTTAGGCTCCACAACATTTTTCTCTGTCAAATGTTATTTTTCAGTGAGCTTTATCAGAAGCACTAATGGTAGTGGGCAGACTCAATATATTTTGTGATCAAATTATGAACTAAAACGTGCTTGCAAGATCTTCTTTGTTCTGAAATGCACTGCTTGAACGCAATTTTAGCAGTATTGTCGATTGGAACATTGAATTGATGGAAATCAAGAAAAAAGTGAACCTTTATAAAGCAAAATTAGCTAGTTCAGTTCAAGTTTTCGCCCTCTATTTTTTAGTCTTGAAGAGAGAGAAAATAAAAACCTATGTTGTCCTTAATTTTTTTTTTTTTTGAAAGAATGTTGTCCTTAATTTGAATCGAGAAAGAAGAACTAGAATGGAAAATTATGGAAAGCATTTAGTGAAATGGTGATCATTAAAGAAATTCATGATAGCTATCCGTAATCATCATTACATTGATAGAGATCGAGCACCTTTCACCATTAAATTTAGGAGATTTGGCGGTAGGAATGCAGCATTGACAAATTAAAATCTTCCCCTTCACTTGAATTATTATATTAGCTATTAGTCTGATCCATGTTTCCAAAAGCTAGAATATCACCTCTTTAATTAAAGCATGTAAGTTTTTTATTTTATTTAGTTGTTGCATCTTGAATTTTTGGGGTGTTTCTAAATTTGGTCTTCTGTGTATGTAATGAAATGCAAGTTTCACATTGCTTGACTTAGCTTCGTGAAAATCCATATTTATACACTCACATAAGGAATTTTTTTATGAAATTGGTTTGGGTAATGATATTTAGACATAAAAAAATTTACACTACTTATTTGTCTGGGAAAATAAAGTTTGTGTGCGCGCGCTTTATTATTATTATTATTATTATTAGGGTTTGCTATTTGTCCATTTAAAGGACATAAAATTATGTTCTTTTAAATGAGAAAAAGATACACAATTAAAATCATAAGGAGAAAAGTGTGTGATTTTTTTAATTTAAAATTTAAATAAAAAACACTAATTTTAGCTAAAATAATCGTTCTTTAAAATGATAAATATTTTTTCCTTATTATTATTAGGAAAAACTACACACTCTTCGATAACTGTGTCATCTTTTTTTTTTTCTTTTTCCAGGTGGTGGAGCCCATAAATTTGTCTATATGACATAAGATAACTTATCTCCTTTAACATGAGATTAATAAAACCCTTATCATTATTATATAAAAATAGTTGCTTACTTGGAAAATTAAAGGTTGAAAGAATACTTGTGGAAATCTATATTTTTCATATTTTATATAAAAAAGAAAGTGAAGCAAGAGTAGTGAAATAAAAATGATTTACAAATATCATTATGAAATTGGTTTAGTGATTGGACCTTATATTTTACCATGCCATGCACTAAATTGGGTTTTAGTTTAAGATTATTTAATTTTTAACACTAGTTATGTTTTGTTAATGACCAGATGAGTTGTGTTCTTTCCATTTTGAATGTCAGCTAGAATTGGGGTTTGCTATTTATTTTCTTCTATTCTTTCTTGGTTACACACATTCTACTCTTTGCTATTTCGCTTCTCATTGTTCATCTCCCTCTATTTTTGCTTCAACATATCTTCTCTGCTGTAATTCATTCAAATTGCTTTTGCTGGAACTAGTTTGTTGCTCCATCACACATTAATAATGTCTTCTGAGGTATCTAACTGACGGTTGGCTGCTCCCAGTGAATGGGTGGGTGCGTGAAAAAATAGTCATATCAACACAATTTGGATCAACCTTAAAACTCCCCTTGAACTTCAAATGAGTAACAAGGTCCCCGATATAACATCGAGTAGCATGGTTAAGATTTGGCTAAACAAAATATTTTTGAATAGCGTCGATAAGAATATTTTTGATTTGATTTTTGCAAGTCCTTTGTTCATACGTCAATTATAGACACATCATAAACTCTTATCGAAGCTCATGACAAGACCATAAAATAAGACATGTTTCTTTCCTGAACTTTTTACAAAATAATAATAATAATAAACACAACTGAACAGAGACACACAAAGTAGGAGGGGGTGAAACCATGCCACCGGTACCACTGCGGATGCAGTTTAAGTAACAAAATTTAGTTCGTTACATTGTTTTTTAGTTGAAGAGCTATATTGTATAAATAAACCTCAGATAGCCATACATAAATATATCAGGGAATAAGCATAAACGGTATGGGAACTTTCTATCCTTGATTCAGAAGAAATGAAAAAGAAAAAGAAGAAGCATCGTCGGAAAGAAAAAGAAACACCCAGATTCCGCCGAAAAATCAAGAGCACCATGAGAATACCTTGGCTGTCAGTGAGCTCAAGATAAAATACAGACCATGACACAGTCGGCACCGATATATATAAGATAAGCATTGCATCCAAACCGAAATGTTTTAGCCTTTTATGGCCGAAGAAGCATTGAGATATTTGGGGTTTGCGAATGTCACAAACAGCACAATGTCAAAACAGCACAACCAACTCAAACAGCGCGCTTAATAGCCACACAACTATCACAAAGCCTGGTTTGTAGCCACAGCTCTCTTAACAAACGCAAATTGGAAAGGGATAAAATTCGATTGTATTTTTTTAAAGAGACTATGATAGGAGCAAGTGGCAAGAAAAGCAAATTATGGATAAAAGGTCGTAAATAATCCAATGGTTGAGAATAATTCTAAGTTTGTGTATAAAAAGGGAAAAGGGAATTGTGTAGAGGGTATTGTGGAATATTGTAATCCCATTTTCTGTTTGGAATAAACTTCTCATTCTCATCTCTTTCTTCTTCTTAACTTTGTTTTTCTCTCATCTTCAACCTCTGTTCTGCAAGATAGGATCCCGAACCTATCAAACTATTTACTAAAAAAGAACTCGTGTCATTCCAATTTGTCTCACAAGTCACAACTATCCTTTACATTTTCTGCATTGTTAAGTTGTTTCCAAGTTCATTGTAATTCCTTTGTTTCTGAAATTGTCTCTGTTTTGCTGTTATTGTAATTGTCTCTTGAAGATTATATGAAAATCTGATGTGATTCAGGCCAAAAGTCTCTGTTATTGGTTGATTATTCCTTATTTTTAGTAGAGGTCCCTATCACAATGCATCACCAAATAATATTAATCAACAAATTGCTAAGAAAGAAACTAAAGACTTACCATATATAATAACGGAGAGTTTGAGATCACTCATAAGTTATTCAGTATTTCAGTGTTAAACCACTCAACCACCATAGATATCAGTCCCAGTGAGGGATACCATTATACATGTCCATGAAAAAGGAGGATATTCATAATAATGGTTATTCGTTGGCCATTTCATAGCACATTTATTGCACACTTAAGACTTCAATTTCAAATTCCAAGGTAGAGTTGGGCTGTATTCCCCAAGCAGGAAAGCCACCAGCACCATAGGCATAATCAGGAGAGCACTGCAAGATTATCCCAAAAAATAAAAATAAAAAACACGTGAATAACAGGGTTTATTCAAATTGATAACTCTCCAGATTAAGGAAATAATACAATGGATTCGGCACCAACAACCTTAACTCAATTCGTTTTTTTAAAGTTAATAATAATGGATATATTAATTTACCCGGAGACGAGCAACTTCACCAATTTGCATGCCAATCACACCTTCATCCCATCCTACAGACACACACATAGTTGGAACGAATCATAAAAATTAATTAGATATCTGCACTTTAAGCCGATCAAAATTTGAAATTGCAGATCTAAAAGACACAAGATGTAACCACTTAAAAGAGTTCAACAATTATATTAAGTAACAGTAACAGAAACAAACAGAATATGCTATTATTATTATTATTATTATATGGGAAAAACATCTATCCTTTTAAAGGATATAAGGTTACATCATTTTAGATCATTTTAGATCTTAACTGTTGATTTCCGTCCATCAACGGTTATAATCTATTGGGCCAAATTTAATAGGCCAAATATATTATTAATTAACTAATAATTTTGATCCAATAAATTATAACCGTTGATGGACGCAAATCAACGGTTAAGATCTAAAATGATATAAGCTTATATTCTTTAAAATGACAAAACGACAGATGTTATTCCCTTATTATATATACCTTTGATAACAGAGCCTTGGCCGATTTTGAATGTGAAAGGGTTCTGGCCAGGATCCTTCGTGCTATAAGAGGAAAAAAATAAAAATGTCAGGTTAATCTGATCAGAGGAAAACAAGTGATTTTAGAGTATAGGAATGTTAGGGAGTAACCTAACCTCCAAAACTTCTGAGAAAGGTCACCGTTTTTCCCTGCTCACAAAATCGACACTAATTACCAAATCAAACAACATGTGGATCTTATGCCCAGGAAATAATCAAGTGTAAAAAAAAAAAAAAAAACGATGAGTTTTAGGGTTTAGAAAGGGAAGGGAAAGACGAACCGTAACCAGTGCAGTGAACAGTGACGTTCTGACCGGGAACTGGCTTGGGACCGGTTCCAGGCCTGACCAGTTGCTTCTCCACTCCCATTTCTATTCTCTCTTGATCTTCTTCCTTTCTTCCTTCCTTCCTTCGATTCGATTCTCCTAATTATTGTTGTTTACTCAGATACTCCCATTTTATATACCCCACCCCTCATTTACGGTGTCATGGTTTTAGATTTTTCTTTAACCCTGTAATTACACTTATTTTATTTTATTTTATTTTATTATATAAGTTATTTTATTTTTTTCTGTTTATTTTTGTCTATTATTTTTATTTTTTATTGAGATTCTGAATTTAATAATATTAGAAAATGATAGACAGAATTTAGTAAAATAGCTTATCCCTTTTTTATTTAGTCTCTACACTTAAAAGAATTTTTAGCTATCCTCGGGTGTATAATTATTTTTAATTTAATCATTATCATTTATTATTAATACAAAATTATAATATAATAAATTTAAGAATTAAATTATAAATAAGTGTTATACATGTAAATTATATTATCTTTTTGTCTTTATGCATGATGATTGATTTTAATTTGATTCTTATATGTGATAGCTATTTTTCACTTAATCCTTATGCTTTATAGTAATTTCATGTTAATCTCATGTGGTTACAATGATAGTAAACGATAACGACGAAATTAAAATTTTCTATATATATATTTATTAAATTGAAAATAAATTTCATATAATAACTAAATTAAAAAATAAGCCGATACAAAAATAAAAATAAAAAATAAGCATCAGGAACAAAAAGTATATTTGGAAATTTCAATTGAATAAATAAATATAAAAAATTTGAGAGGTTCACTACCAAAAAAAAGTAATCATGAGAAATTTATTCATAAGTGCCATATTAATATTTTATATCCAGTAAATTTTAAGCTTAATAGAAAAAATCATTTTGAAATCATTTTTTACTGCATTAAATTTTTAAATTCTTATGTTTCTCCAATCTTTTTTAATTTATTCAAATCAAATAATTAATACTTTCTTAATAGAATTAATGTTAAAAGTATTTTTTTCATTAGGAGGCTCATTAAGCCTTAGGTAGAAATGAGTAGCAACTTATGAAGCACTGACAATTCAAAAATTTTGACGTGTCGTGTTTGATACTCTCTGACACTTCAACATTCTCCGACACTCTAACACGCGTTATAGAAATCTAAAAGAAGGTTCAAAAGTTGCGTTACGTTGAGTTTTAAGTTCTAACTATTAAATTCGTTGGATTACGATTATCATTTTATTGAATTTAATATAAATATTTGGGATATCTTATGTTTCTTTGCAAAATTGATGAATATTATAAATTTAGTTTTATTTTTTTGTTAAATTATTGAAACATAAATTTAAAATATTATTTAATATCAAAATGTGTTCTGACGTGTCAAAATTTATTATTTTTTAGAATTAATGTGTCAAAATATCGTATCATATCGTAATACGTGTCCTGTGTCGGTATCGATTCTACGTAGATAGCGGCAATAGTTGGGTGTAACGGTAAGATGGGTTGTATTCTTAGAGTGAATATCAAAATTCAAATCCTAAATAGATGGACCCCTTAGTTGTGACATACTGACAATACCGAAAGGTCAGTCTAAGTGCAATGCTCGTGGGAATATTTTTGTCAAAAGGCCTAAAAGAACATTAATTTTGCTGCTCAATTGTGAAAAGTGAATGTAATTATTCAATCATATATTGATATAAATTTGTTAGTCTTTTAATCACATAAACTATCAATTTTGTTCCTTAGTCTTAAGATTTATACAGAAAAAATTTGATATGATATTAATAGACTAAGTGAGCAATAACATTAAGTGAGATTAGATACTATAATCAAACTTAAAATTTTAAAGTATTAGGTACATAGGTATTTTCAATGCTCACTATTCCATTCTTAACGGAATTTCATTCAGTCACACTTAGATTTCTCAATAATAATAAATATATATTTATTTTATTTTATTTTATTTTTATTAAAATAAGCCGTTACTCTTTTATTAAAAAGAAACTTGACAGCAGAAATAGGATTTTATGTTTTTATTTTTATTTTTCCCATTGCTTTTATTACAGAGACATTTATCTGCAAATTCAATGACACGGCCCACAAGGGGCAGAGCAGCTTAACCACACATCTGCTTTCATGGTTTTGTGGTCAATGATATCCGGTTCTGTTTCACCAAACTTCAAAGATTAATAAAAACAAAAAAATAAAAAATTATTCAACATAATATCAAACTACACTACAACATTAATTATGAATCCTGTTGTGTTGTTTTTTTGGTCTGATCCCAAGCTCATGAATCCTAAATATAACTGATGTGTACGTGGATGCTGTTGGAAGTTGTAAGTATATAACACTGCCATCACGCGACATAAAGTGCTAAACATAGTACCTCGCTAAGGACAATGCACAACTCATCTTCCCCTCCCACACCATCCATTGTTACCCGCTTCTGTCTCCTGTATAAAAATCCATCTCTATTTCACTTTCAGAGTCACACACTTCCTTCTTCTTCTTCTTCTTCTTCTTCCACCCTCACTTTCTTATTTCTCTTCCTCATTCTGGTGGTGCCTTTGAGTTTCATATGACAACAATTGGGTGAACACCATCGATCTGATCTGAGCTGCGCTACAAAAAACGTGCAATGGAGGTACAGAGGACGATGGCGTTGATGCTGTTATGGTGTAGAATGAGAATCAACCGTGTCACTCTTGTGGGTGGAAACCACACCGCTGCTAGGTTTTGCAGTGGCTAAAGTTCCCACCTTTCCAGATCCCTGGCATTGTTTTTCTTCGTCTTCGCGATCATCTTCACTTTTCTGTATCTGGGTCGTCTCCATTTTGGCCACACCAAAAAGGGTTTCGCTCGTTGGGCTAGAAACCGAAGGTGGTGAATGGAATTGGGTCGTGGGTATAAAGCCAATAAAATGAGCAAGATGAAGAAGCATTTGCTTGGAGGAACAATTGCTCTGAATCCCGAGACTGTTCTCGTAATTAGGATTCCCGATGCACAGGTTTTGCGCATTTTGTCTCGGTCCCTCTTTTTGGCTATGGTTCTTGTAGCGTTGCCTTTTTTGGGAACCATTCTCAGGGGATTCTCATCAAGTCCCCATTCATATGTTTCAAAATTTGAGTCTGCTTCTGGGTCTATCAATATGGAGCTGTTGAATTCGATTCTCCATGATTTGGCTGATGAAGGCCACCTCAAGAAGGATGATAAGACTCTCATTGTGAACCCTCCCAATGGATTTGGGGGTATTGCTTCGTTCAATAACAACGAGATTGACACGGTCACGGACTTTGATTTGGAGAGAAAGAGCTTGTTCTTTGGTGAGTCTTATGATTTTGTGTTCATTTCCAGCTCTGGAGATGCTGAGTTTGTTGATCGCATTCTTAAAATTAATGGCATGGTGGCTCTCCCGTTAGGCGTTGAACCATCAAATGCAGCTTTCAGAAAACAATCTAATTATAGAGTAGTTTACCTTAGGCGATATGGCTCTATCATTGTTGCTTTGAGGAAAATTGGCGCAGCCATTAAGTTGGTAGATTCTTCACCAAAGAGAAAGCTTTGCCAATTGGCAACAGACTCCAAGACAGTGGCATTGAATGGTCTTGAAGATGTACTCTTGGAGCCACCGAGACAGGCTTTCCTCAAATCAAAGAACTACTTGAAGAAGATCAAGTATCTACCTGACTTGTTGGGTGATTCTCTTGAAGTTTACAATCGAAGAGTCTTCATTAGTGTAGGCTTGCCTAAGGAAAACAAGGGTGTAATACAATGGTTCGAGCAGAACTACCCAAAGAAGAGTACAAAATTCGAGATTTTCAGCCTCGTGGTTGCACCAGAAAACCGGATGGTGCCCCATATTGATGTTTCTGGTTGGTTATCAAAGCATGTGAAGGAAGAAGATTATGTTGTAATTAAAGCAGAAGCAGAGGTAGTGGAGGAGATGATAGAGAAAAGGACAATCTTATTGGTGGATGAACTTTTCTTAGAGTGCAAGAATGAATGGTGGCAGAAGGGGATGGAAAAGAAGAGTGAAAGAGCATATTGGGAGTGCTTGGCTTTGTATGGAAGGTTGAGGGATGAGGGAGTTGCAGTACACCAATGGTGGGGTTGAATTAGTGTTAAGTGTTACATTACATGGTTAGCTAGCTTCTTTCTTGTGTTTCGGTGTTTGAATTTGCACCTTAAGAAGAACTGCGTGTGCCATGAGTAGTGCCAGTTTGTATTCCTTTTCCATGGTGCTGTTTTTGCTATTTTGATACCATAGCGCTGTAAATAAAAGGCTTACTATAGCTATAAATAAAAAAGGCTTTTTTATTTTATTTTATTTTTTTAGTATTTTGCCTCTTGGGGGAGTGATGTAGAGTTCCGATGCACTGAAATTTCAAAAAACTTTTTAATATTTCGACACTTCAACATGCATAGAGATCTAAAAAATGGTTCAAAGGTTGTATTGTATTGCGTTTTTAATTTCAACTATTAGATTTATTAGATTACGATATCATTTTATTGAGTTCAATATAAATATTTGTGATATTTTATATTTCTTTACAAAATTGATGGGTATTAGAAGTTTAACTTTATTTTTTGTTAAATTATTGAATATTAAATATAATATACACTATACAAATTAAAAATATTAATTAATATCAAAATGTGTCTTAATATACTAAAAAATGTCCTAATATTTTTTTGTTAAAATTAACATGCCAGAATATCGTGTTTTTTTCTATTTCGAGTGTAAGACCTTATATGCTAAAAAATAATTATTACTTTTAGGACAAAACCTAATCTATTCTGGCCTATTTTCAGTCAATCTATCATTTAATAGCAATAGCAAAGAGATGGTCGGGTAACTGAAGCGAAAGATTATAAAAGAACCCAAGCTTTCAATTTATATTTCATTATTTAATAATAGAATCAAGTCACTCATGTCCCTCTTTCCTGAAATATTTTCGTGGAATGGATTTACCATATTGCAAATGAAGCAATCACACGTTAAAACTGTTCGATATTAGATAATCTGCAAGTATAATATGATAATATACTTGCAATTCTTCTTATTATTGATGAAATTTAGCTTGACAGAAAACGAATCAACACAGACCCGACTCAAGTTTTGAAACATCTCTCTCTATTTTGGGTCAATGATTGACCAATTTTTCTAACATAATATGGAGCCTCAAATGAATTAAAAAAACAGATCTTTCAGTATTTTAAATATATATGGACCACCACCTAACATGAATGTGGCTGTAGTTTAGTGGTAAGAATTCCACGTTGTGGCCGTGGAGACCTGGGCTCGAATCCCAGCAGCCACACTATATTTTTGGTTCCTTAAAACTTCAGCACGGAAACGACGTCGTTAATAAGCTCGCCTTAAACACCGGGTCAAGTCACCATGGCTTTTTGTTTTTAAAGGTTTGGTACTACACTCTCTCTCCTCTGTGTTTCCGATCTCACACACAAGTTCATTCTCATTCAAGGACTCACAAGGTCAATTTCTCTTTTATGCCCGTTTATTATTATTATTATTTTTATATTTCATTCTTTGTATCTGCTAGTTTTTTTCTTTTTTTTAATATTTTCAGTGCAATCAATGTTTTGGGAATTCGTTTACACTTTACAGTGATTATATATCGATTCATGAGTGTTACATCACGTTATCTGATTTATTCTATGTTTTGTAAAGTGTAAGCAATGTGAATGGTTTTGATGATTTTGTTGCTAAAAGGGAAAAGAAACAATCTTTTGTGGGTGGGTGGATGGTTTTGGACAAATTTGTGCATTGTTTGATCCAGGAGGTAGCTAGCTAGCTACGGAGCCAAGGTTTCTGAATTTTGAATTAATGGTTGAGAAATATGATGACAAAGTTGTTGGTGTTTAATGTACGAGGTTTATTTATATTGTTTTTTCTGAATAATATTTACAGAGACTTCATTTATGTACTTTTTTATCACTAATATTATTTATTTTGTAAAGATAAAATTTTGTAAGGGATGTTGTGTTTATTTGTGGATTTTGATTCGGCAAGAATGATAATTTGATATCGGGATATATGAAATTATGGTTGTGTTTAATGTACTTTTTCTTGCCTTCCCCAGGAAGTAAAAGATGATTGATGATCAAGCTTTGGGATTTATTGCCAACTATCTTGGCATCCTCATTTTTGCTTTGGTTATAGCATATCACTTGGTCACAGCAGACCCGAAATATGAAGCCAGCTAGATACTTTGAATTTTATCATGTATCCAAGACACAAGTTTGATGGATTTCTGTTTTGTTGATTTGATCTGTTAGGTCAGTTTGTATGACTTAATATTGATGAAAGCAGAGTTTGTGGCTTTTGCCAACTAAAACTTCAATATTTAGAGGCGTGTGTTAAACATATTAGTCTTTTTTGCTCTCTCTTTTTACTGGTTTTGATCACTGTTCCATCTTAAATTTGGAGTAGCAAACATGAACTAGAATAGCCTTTTTTTTAGGTGAACTAAAACAATCACTCATGATTGCTAGCAATTTAGAGAAAAAGGTATCCTTACATGCATCATACATTTTGCACGAAAGCAAGGGGAAACATATGATGCTCCATTACAAGGTGCTATATGGCATCTTCACTCAATCAAAGGATAGAAAACAAAGTAAATAACATGATGGGAAGGCTTGTGCATGAACCTTTATTTTGCTGCATATTCATGCATTCCAACATGGATTATGCTACATATATCTGCTTAGGAGCAGTGACAGAGTCAAAAGTAAAACTCAGCCGGTGCCAAAAGATCCAACCAAGTAGAATTCAGCCGGTACTAAGGTTGTATTATTTTTAAAAACTCAACCAGTACTAAGGTTGTATCATTTTTAAGGCAAGGCACCACCTGAGTAACAAGTGGCTCTGCCACTGCTTAGGAGCATAGTTGATTGTACAAAATCATCCTCAAGGATTGGTTATTGTGGTGTGGGAATTAAAGGGATGTCTGGAATTTTAATCATTGGTGAGGGCAACCTATACTCTGGCTACTCCGTTACTAAATCGGGCAATGTTGGTGCCTGAAGTTTTCTGGCTGTTGAACTTCTTGTTGCATAACAATTTATTACTCTGAACTACATTACTTGTGGGAGGGCATCCAATGTTATGATAATAATTAACAAACACATTCTTTTTCCAAGCACAGATGTTCTGTAGTTTACCATAGCTTTTCTGTTGCCTGCTCCAAAATTATGCAAGGATACATATAATTTTTTAAACCTTTTTTTCATGGTTAATTTTCTTGTTCAAGTTCATGGTGTGTGTTTCCAGGTAATGGAATTTGTGCAATTTCCCTATATAAGTGCTGCAATATGGTACACGCACGGCATGCTTCGTATGACAATAGTGTCATATTTCTTCATTCGTTTCAATTTGTTCGGCAAAAGTAGTGTGGAGGTATCATTGTTGTTACAGTTCACTTTTATCAGACGAAACACCAGATTTTATGATTAGTAGTTCATAATTTCTGTAAAATATTATGAACAACTGAATTTTTCTAATGTCCAGATGGGGTCCGTAGTTAGTTTTATCTTCTTTTTGCCTGTTTTTCTTTTATTCATTCTACTGTATCCAAAAAGAAAATAGTTCATAATTTCTCGTTTTGAAATACTTAAGTCTTTCTTTACTGATTAAAAAAAACAAAAAGTGCTTTGCTACTTTTTCTTAGGGAACTACTCTTACTCATTACCTGGTATAGTACTTGAGCTAAGCCAGAAGTCTAGAACCCAAGGGTTCAAGTGAAATACTCTCCGTGATATAAATATAATTAGAGGGCTAAGGAGGATGTTAGAAGAGTTTAAAAGGAGGAACATCATAATTGTATAAATCAGTCACAATCTATAACATAAGAAGTACAACTTTACAAGCAATAGCAAGAAACTCATGAATTAAAAAGAAAATGCACTATTTTTCACACCAAACAACACAGATACAATGATAACTTGGCAGAGATACCAAGCCAGAGGCTAGCGAGCCCAGGATGAACAAACTTAGGGGGCGTTTGGTTCAGGAAATTTTTTTGGAATAGTAGGAAAATGAGATAGATGGAGAAATGATTGGAAAGATAGATAAAGTGAGATAGATAGAAAAATGTAAAAAAAAGTTGTTTGGTGGGAAAAACTTTACTGGAAAAATTAAGTAGCTTTATGAAAGCAACAGTGCATTAAAAGCCAGATAACCGGTTTTCCGAAAAATTTCACCTTCAAATTGGGTTTCTAAATAGTGCGGATATCTATGTTTCTCATAAATCCAGACAAATTGGATAGATGAGTTTTTGGTGAAAAACGTTGAAACAAACATGGTGTTTCTAAAAGTCATACTTGAGAAAGATAGATATCCGCTGAAAAGCTCCCAACCAAACACCACTTTAAAGTTTTTAAGGGCTGGAGGTTGAAGGTGGCATGGAAGGGATAGTGGGGATTGAGGGAATGTTGGGGAATGAAGTGGCTGATAATGGAGGAAGGTTGACCTGTGGGACTGTTGGAATGGTAGGGATGCTAGGAAGTGGAGGCAAAGTGGGCTTAGGCAGAGATGGCAGGGTAGGCTGTGGCAGAGATGGGATAGTGGGAAATGGAGGAACATTGGCCTGAGGCAATGTTGGAATTGAAGGCATAGGTGGCAATGTTGGTTTAGGCAAAATGGGAATGCCCGGCAAACTTGGTGCAGCTGGTGTAGTTGTTTGCAAAAGATGGCGAGCTGCTATGGTCAAGCTCATGCTTGAGAAGGTCAAAGCAAGAAGAAAAGCTATGATGAAGGATTTGCCTGAGGCCATTGCTGAATATATTGCAAGATTGCGAAATGTGCAAATGGGATGTTCAAACCGGGACTTTGCTTTGAGATTGTATGAGACACTAAACGATAGTGCTTGGTCTTATATAGAGCTAGAGAGATGGGAATGACATTTGGCCAACCAGTATGGATTCAGTTCTACTTTGGAGAACCTAAAAAATCCTTAGCAATCTTTTAGTTAGTTCACCTTCCTGTGTTTGAATAAACCATTTTATTATGTTGGACTAATTAGGTGGTTGGCTATTATTTAGTTATAGCTCCAAATATTCAAATGTAGGATGACCAACTCCTATTTTTGTATGTAACAGAGAGAGAGAGAGAAAAAAGAGAAGAGCCCGGAGAGAAAAATAAGAGAGAGGAGGGGGGTACAATAATAAACTGAACAAAGTGCTTCTTTGTTTATAAATATTTCCAGACGTCACCTTTTACCAATGGCGTTTCACAGTCACACTCGGGGCGGAGACAGAGAGAGGTTAGGCTGGGCGGCCACCACCCTCCCCCCACCTAAAAAAAATTGAAAAAAAAATTTATTGCAGTTGAAGGTCAAACATAGTACTGTTATTACTGTTAAATGTGCTTCTTTAGAAAGTTCTGATTTGAGATCCAAGTTGAAATCTACCTCTAGTTCATCTAATGTGTATGCGTTATGTGTAACTTTTTCTGCATTTTCTTTTTTATTTTCATATGCTATGTTTTGGTTAATGAAAGCTTTGGCTGTTTTGTCACTCTTTTGCTCTATTTTCATTTGCATTTCTCTTTGTGTAGTGGTTTCATAGAGAAAATGAGTTTGCTCTAACTTAAAAGATTAATTTTTTGGGACAATTATATTGCAGTCTTTTATTTTATTATTTTAGAAAAATGTAGTTAAAAACATTGTTTTAGTTAAGACATTTTTTTTTAATTATTTCTTTAAACTATTTTTTATGTCTGTTGGACCCGACCAATAGTATATTTTTTCAGTCTTTCAAATATTGTTAAATGTTAATATTTTGATAAAAAATTATCTAAATGAGTTCGTACGAGGTCAATAGATACAAAAAAATAATAATATTATGTAAGACAAAAAAATTAATTTTGCCCCCCTCCCCTTCAATCCTGGCTCCGCCCCTGGTCACACTATAGGCAAACTCGTACAACTGCCATTACCTCCTTTGAGGTTTTTACCACCAAAGAAAGTTCATTTCACCACCATAAATGCATTGTTCATTACAGGAGATGATTTTTATACTATTTTCTGGAAAAAAAAGAAAAGAAGAAGACCCGATATAAAACTTCAAATACATGGTAGATCTTCTGAAAGGCAAATTATCAATCCTGTACAGGAATTTTAAAACTGTGTAAAATTCATGTGCTATCATCTCAAAAGATTATTTTTATATATGGTGGGACACATCACCTAATACAAACTTTCAAAACCCTTGGCTATTAGGCTTTCTGGAAAGATTATTTACAGCCTGGGAATGAGGATTCCGGTTTATCTTAAATGGTTTATGTCTCACTTCACTTGCACCCACTTCAACAGTTCAACTTAAAACAAAAGTCTAGCAGATTTGAAATATGCAAATTCAGGGTACATAGCTCAACTTATTTATCCACCTATTTATCTATTTGTTTATGGAAAAACTTCAAAAAAACTCCTGTAACTTTACTTATAATCATTTATCCCCTCTTCAAAATTTTGAATCATTTACCTTCTTGGCTTAAAGTTTTTTTATCATTTACAAGTGATAAAAAAAACTTTAAGTCAAGGGGGTAAGTGATAAAAAAAATCTAAATAAGGGTATAAATGATTCAAAAAATTTGTGAGGAAGATAAGTGATAATTAAAAAAACTTATAGGAGGATTTTTGAAGTTTTTCCGTTGTTTATCTATCTACATTTATCTATATATATGTTGAATAATTAACCAAGTTTTATAGATGTTATAAATAAAATTTTAAATTAATCAAATCATATACAGAACAAGATCTTTTGACACCAAACTCTAACGGCTGATTTCTGTTAATCTGACAGTTATAATTTAGGTGTCAAATTAAAAAATTTGATATCAAATCTCAACAGTTAATTTTCATCAATATAACGATTATAATTTATTAGAAATTAATAATTAATTAACAAGTGTGACTCAATAAATTATAACCGTGCGATTCACAAAATTAACGGTTAAGATTTGGTGTCAAACCTTTTAGTTTGACACCGATGTCAAAGGATCCTTCCCTATTTACATATATGAGATTGATGTTTCTTATGTTGTAAGAGATAAAAATTATCTCATATACACATAAAAGCTATGTAGCACTGATACCGACACGGGACACGTGACACGACACGATACGACACTCCGACACGTTAATTCTAAAAATTGTTAGATTTCGACACGTTAGGACACGTTGTGATATTAAATAATATTTTTTATTTATGTAGTGTATATTATATTTAATATTCAATAATTTAACAAAAAATAAAGTTAAACTTATAATACCCATTAATTTGCAAAGAAACATAAAATATCTCAAATATTTATATTAAACTCAATAAAATTATAATCGTAATCCAACAAATCTATTATAGTTGGAACTAAAAACACAACGCAATGCAACCTTTGAACTATTTTTTGAGTTTCTACAATGCGTGTTGAAGTGTCGGAGAGTGTCGAAGTGTCGGAGAGTATCGGAAAGTGTCGGACACGACACGTCAAGGTCTTTGAAGTGTCGGTGCTTCATAGCATAAAAGTGTGTGGGCCCATCGTGGGATCATATCAAGAGAAGAGATAGAGAAAAAAATATTAACCCCACATACTTTTATATGTGCTTAGGAGAAAAAATTACCTCTTACAGCATAAGAAACATTAATATATATATATATATATATATATTATGCTTACTTTTTATATAACTTATTACTTCTAAAAATACATAAGCTATAATTGTTTTGTATCTTGTTATATAACACTATCATTAATTTTCTCAATCAAAATTTTACTAACTCAATTGGGAGCAACTTACAAAATTAATAGAAGTAATGTCACAAATTAAGCATATATTAACATTATAAAATTTTAGCTCTTTGACCTATTTGGGGTTTTTATCCTTTTAATTTTTTAATCTGTTATTTGATTCACGATATTTATCAACGGGGGTTGTTTAGAGATGGAGGGGGGATCCACCATCATTGAGTGTCGCGACCCTCCTCCATGTCACTCACACATTCTTTCTTTTTTTTCAATTGAGCGATGCCCCTCTCCTTCGACACTTATAGGATTGTGTCAAGTGGTACAATCTCGTTAGTTCCGTTACCGTAAAATTTCGGAAGGTCATAACTTTTGACTCAGATATCCAAATTAGATGATTTTTTTTTTATTTCACATAACTTTTTGAAATCTATGCAATGACACCTTATTTGACATATTTTATTTTCTATTAAAATGTGTGAGTGATGCGGGAGAGGGTCGCAGCACTCAATGATACTGGGTCCCCTTGCATCACTAAATGACCTCCATTGATAAATACTGAGTCAAATACTATATTTATATATTAAAACCTCAAAAAACAAAAAAAATGGATCAAAGAGCCTAAAATTTTAAGCAGGTGGAGCAACTTCCCCACTTTCGTAGGCTGGTGACCCCTCTCTGAAGGGATAACTTTTTTTTATGGTTAAATGATTAGTATATGCTTAATGTTTCTTCCTACATTGTCTATTATTTATGTCACCCAAATTTAAAGTGACTATTTTAACCTCGGGCAACTATTGTTGTCCCGTCATCATTGTTTTTTTAATTTCTTCTATCAAATAAAAGGCACCCGATAATGTATACTAACTACAAACTAAGAAAAGGGTACATGTATACCAAAAATAATTAAGGGCCTCTTTGGTGTGACGTATAAGGCATGATAGTATAAGCTTATATTATACGTTATGATATTTTTAGTTGTTTGGTGTGACCACCGTATAGTATAAGTTTATACAGCATAATCCCTTAATACATCAAAACGATGTATAACTTAATCCGACCTAAGGGTGAGGGATAAGACCTGATAAGAGATTGATGTATTAACATCGTTGACCAATGTAATTCTCAAAAATTAATATATTATTTTAATATTAATCTATTAAAATAAAAATTTATTTTTCAATATATTAATTTTTAAAATATTGAATATTTTTATTTTTATAAAAATTAATTTATATTTTGGACACACTGATCAATAAATTTTTATAAAAATTAATATCATATGACATTTTTTGAAGAATTATATAAATTCTTTATTAAAGGATATTTTTATTAAAAATATTTATTTTTATCATATATAGTATTATACAGTGCATTACCAAATACTAGATGATATTATCTTATACAATATATTATTTTATACAATACCGTGTCAAACGCTTGATAGTATTAAAATTCAATCAGGTCTTATACAATCAGGCCTTATACTATCAGATCTTATACTATCAGACCTTATCCTATACTATGCATCAAACATGCCCCTAAATGACAAAAGTTATTTTATAGTGATTTTGATATTTCCGGCACCCTTGAACCACTTATTGGTACTTGTTTAATAACATTTGGTATCTTTTAATTCAATTTCGTTATGTACTCTTTCCATTACTCGTATAATCTCTGAATCATAATCGGTGGGAATATAATTGGGTGGAGTTAGTTACGGTTTAAAGAAAATAAATACATATCCACCAATACAAGTTAGATTATTATGTACTCAAATCTATTTAACCTTGTGTTTATATATTGTCAAATTATGTCACCCTCCAAATAAAAATAACTCGATTGGAGCTTAGCAACTTCGGAAACAGGAACAGGAGAGTCATATTGCCCTATATATGAAAGACAAAATGTTTTATTTATTATAGTGTATTCTATAACAATAGGTCTCCAAGTACATGAAGTAACGAAAAAAAGCAGCAGCAATGATCCCATGCACACAAGGATAAAGAAAAAAAGAAAAATTAAAAGTAACATTCCCCAACGAGAAATGAACAATGTATAATATAATCTATATGTCTAGTATATCAAACATAGTAAGAAGCAGCAAATCACTGAAAGCCAGAACCAAACTCCAAAGATTAGTAGTAATCCAACTTATAAGCAGAGTAGCTTCATTCAGGGGGTGGTGGTTGAAGGTGGTGGAGACAGGAATGGGATAGAGGGAATAGTGGTTGGGATTGTGGGAAAGTTTGGCAGAGAATTGGCAAGAAGTGGTGGCAGAGCGAACTGTGGGACAGTTGGAATAGTGGGGATGGTAGGAAGAGAAGGCATAGATGGTTGTGGCAGAGATGGGATAGTAGGCAAAGGTGGAACATTACCCTGAGGCAATGTTGGCATTGGAGGCAATGGTGGCAATGTTGGTTTTGGCAGATTAGGTGGTGTAATTGGAGTTGCCTGTAGAAGATGGCGAGCTGCTAGGCCAATGTCCATGCTTGAGAAGGAAATAGCAAGGAAAAAAGCCAACATGAAGCAATTGTATGAGGCCATGGCTAAAGACTTTGCTTTGTAGAAAGTGATTGTCTTTGAGGACTTTTGCTTTTGTGCTTGTGTGCATATTCCAGAGTCTAGTAGCATGCCTTTTATAGTGAATGAGTGCAAACCTTTGTGGCCAAGACTCTGAGTTTTCTTCATGTTAGCTAAACTTCCTTAGACAGCATATTACGCAGTTGGATTACTGTGTTGGTGGTGGTTGGCTAGTTTAACATTGGAGATTCCAAAGTAGGACACCCAACTTTTTTTTCTTTTGATTAATTTAGAAGAGGGAAAAATAGACTTTTACTTGTGGGTTTACAATGTGTTCGGTAGTCCAACTTTTAGAACATTTACAGGAAAAAAAAATATTGGAATTTGTCTATTGATTAAATATCGGAACATCGAACAAAGTGATACTCTTTGGTAAATTTTTTATCCAAAATATACTTTTTGCTAGACTGTCGTGCGATGAAATTCGTTACAATTGGTAGCAAACTTCGTTCGCCAATAATTTTATGACACATGACACACTTTCATAAGAAAAAGCTAATTGGACTAAGTTTCGCTATCAATGGTAGCGAATTTGATATGTAATATGGTCACGTGTCACGAAATCATAAGCGACGAAGTTCGTTACCAGTAGTAACGAACTTCGACGTGTGACAGTATGATAAAAAGTACCGTTTGTGACATTTGAATAAAAAATTTGCCAAAACTTTGGTCACTGTTCCTTAAATATCAAATCAAATGGGACCAACTGGTGTTTCTTCCAGACTGGCCTGGTGTTTTACCTTTTAAATTTCTAATGGTACCAATTGATGTTTCTTTCAAGACAAAACATTCTGTTGTATTGGAGGCTCGAATCCACATAAATAGGTTGGCATGTAAATGTAATCACAAGAACAAGTTAAGGTTGTCTCTTTATGGACAGCTGGACAAGTACAAAATATATGTGGCTATTGTAGAAGTTACCATGATAAATATTTTAAGCTCAGAGCCACAAGTATTTGAGGTTATTATCTGCTATACATAGGGCAGATTCGTTAACTAGTTATATTTATTGTAAAATACTTGTTAAATTGATCTCTATATATATATATGATAAAAGATCTGTTACATTCCAAGAATTTTCATGTTTTCCGTGGAATACTCGGAGATTGTAAACTTTGTGAAACTAACGAACCAGATGTGATATTATTGAGATAAAAATATTATTGTTTTGAATTCCGTTGCGAATGGTTTTAACTGTCTCAGCAAATGAAATATTCTCAATATACTATTCATTAGAAGAAGAAAAATATCAATCCTGAAATGCCATGCCTCTTGTACCTAAGATGCAACCTTAAGGTTAAGTTGACAAGTAAAAGTTGTGCTTTTTTGCAAAATGACAATGAAACCATAAAAGACTCGTAGATAATGAATGCTAGAATTCTAGATAATTCCTACATGACCAGTAGATAATGAGTAAATCCTACAACTCTTGCCTATCTGAAGAGATGGAGCTAAAAGAACATAAACATATCTGAATTTGAAAGAATGTTGACAAATACAAAGCCATGATGACAATTTATACTAGATAATTCCCGCGAGGTCTGTAGATAATGAATGAATCGTACAACACTTATATATCTGATAAAAAGATGGAGTTAAAAAATATATAAGCTATCCAAAAGTTGTTGATTTCACGGAAATTCAGTTAGATTTTAGAATTTGACCTGCGCAAAGAATAATGGATTTAATTCAAGAGAGCCCTAACTCGTGAAAGACTAGAGAGATTCAAACCCGAAATCAAATTAGTTTGACTTGTTAATATTGTTAGGACTTCGGACACCAGTTGGTATCTAAAAAAAAAAATATAAGCCATAGCTGAATTAGGTCATATTGGAAGAAATTTCTGCTTCCAAAATCACAGTATTAAGAAATTCAAGATTGTATTGAACTGGAAGATAAGAAAGTTTGATACATGCAGATCACAACCAATAATATGCTGTAGTAAAATTGACTCAAACAGCCTAAAAACTGAACATAACATGTAATTTAACGATATATAAAGTACAAATGAAACCCCAATAAAGCCAGCTAAGATGACAACAACAAATTATAAATAATAGAGACATTTAACAGTACAAGTTTCTACACCAAAATGCTAGTTTAATGAGTAGTAGTTCAGGAACTTTAGGTACTTATGGCTTTGGCACAGCAGGCAACTCTGGCTTGGGAATTTCAGGTATGTTAGGAAGTTCAGGAATTGAAGGAACTCCAGGGATTGGAACAGCAGGCAACTCTGGCTTTGGCAGTGGTGGCAGTGGTAGCATTGGCAGTGGAGGCAACTCTGGCTTTGGAAGTGGTGGCAGTGGTAGCATTGGCAGTGGAGGCAACTCTGGCTTTGTCAGTGGTGGCAGTGGCAGTGGAGGTAACTCTGGCTTTGGAAGTGGCAGTGGTGGCAGTGGCACTGGAGGTAATTCTGGCTTTGGAAGTGGCAGTGGTGGCAGTGGCAGTGGAGGTAATTCTGGCTTTGGAAGTGGTGGCAGTGGCAGATCAGGTAGTGGAGGCAACTCAACTTTGGAAACTTCGTGTACTTTTGGCAATGACAATGCTGGTCGTAGCAGGTTGCGTGCCTCTGCAACCTTAGTGTCACTAGTCATTAATGAAAAAGTTAGAAGCACAAGTGGTAAAATGAATGATGAGAAACTGTTGGAACCCATTTTTGGAGGTAGCAGATGACAAGAGCTTCTGAACCAGTGTCTATGCAAATGGTTTTGGTATGTTTTGAGGTAATGACCTTGAGATGTTATCTGTGAGCTTTTATAGGCAACACATGGATAGGTATTGAGGCGAAATATTTTAGGTACATCCGTCGCACATTGATTTGGTGTAACGGGCCAATTAAAATGGGATATTTTCTGTGATGTGTATATGAAAAAAAAAATTAATCCAAGTGTTAATTTTTGAATGAAAGTCATAGGTACACCGAGTATACCGAAAATGCTCTCGTGTTGAGGAATGAGGATAAGCTGTCATAACAATATATATGGTTTGTTCAACTTCTTACCTTTACACATGTCAAGTAAATATAACTATAATACAGAGTAGCCTCTCAAATGTCAGTAATACCATTCATCACAAGCTTATAAACTTTAAACATGCAATTCATTAAATAACTAGATTTAGTAGTGATAAACAATAACTAGATTTAGTAATGATAAACAATCATCTCATCTGATAGCTTAAACCGGCAAGTGAAGGTCCATTGATGGTTTTACCATCTCACCTTTGAGTTTGAAGTGCGGATATTTCACAGACTCAATTTTTTTTTTTTTATCTTGTATTAATTTAATTCCACTAAAAAGTGGAGACAGTGGAATCAAATTCATAACCTCATGGTCACATAAACTTTAGTACTATGTAAAGCAATCAAATCAACTTAAAAATTCAAGCTAATAAGTGATGTACCTTCAATAATTTTATATTATATCTCTCTAGCAACTAAAATGTTGTTATTGCTCTTGTAAAAAAAAAAAAAATGTTGTTATTGCTTTACTATATATATGTGATATAATGCCCTCGCTCTGTTGCTCAATAATGCGATCCACTCAAAATATGATAATAGCATGCAATGCCTCTGTGATATCTCGACCACACCCAATTCATACATTGGATTCCACTCACATGATTGAATCACGGGTGCCGAACAAGTTCTTGCTTAGTTTGTCTTATTTTTTCAATAATGTCTGCATTGAAAGTGTAAGCGCTAGAGTTGAAGAGGGTAAAAGTGACTTGGTGGAGGATGAACCACTAACATCAACAACAAACTTAAGATAAGACCTCGTTGGCACTAGTTTTTCTTTTACCAGATGAGAGGATGAAACATTTTGTCATATTGGAGATTCCAATCCGCAGAATGATGCCAGTATGTAAATAAACCACAAGAACAAAGTGAGGTGTCCCATTATGGATAACTTCAATCTACAGAGTACATGTGGTCTTTGTAGAAGTTATCGTGACAAATATTTTAAACTTACATAGAGCCACATGTACACCAGCCTATATCAGGTTCTTGTCTGCTATACAGAGCTAGATTCGTTAGCTTTAGCTAGATATATTTGCTGTGGATTACTTATTACATTATATAGGTTATAAAAGATCCGTTACACTCCAAGGAATTTCACGTTTTCGGTAAAAATAATGGGTTATATTACTCTCATGGAATAAGAGATATATTATCTCATGTTGTAGATATAGTAATGGAGTGGGCCCCATTATTTATTAAAAAAAGACACAAAAATCGATGGGTCTATAGAAAGTTATATTATTCTCATGCAACATGAGAATAATATAATCCAAAAATAATTGGCAGTTCCGCAAATCTTACAGAACTAATGTGAGAGATGTAATATTTGTTCTATACAGATGCCATTCCTATTAATTATACTATTGCAGTTTACTATCTACCATCACAAAAATAATCTTATTCGAGAAATATTACTGATTAAATTTTTATCATTAATGGTTAACTTTTTCTAATGAAATATTTCAATAACACATTTAACATGTACCTAATAAGATAACATTAACTTGTACAAGTAAAACTTTGTGCTTTTTGCCGAAATGACAATGAAACTAGAAGCAACTTGTCCTATGTATGGGGGGTTCTTAAAATTCTGGGATCAAAATTATTCATCATCTTGTTATACAGACAGGTGAACTCTAATTGGGAAGCTGAAATTACAAGAACGTTTTGATTGAAATGCATTCAATACATTGTCCTACATTTGGAAAGTCAACTGATGTTTAGTTTGAAAGAATGTAAACAAATACAAGCTATGATGACAATGGATACTAGATAATTCCTGCATGGTATATCGATAATGAATGAATCCTACAACTCTTATTACCTATCTGAAGAGAAAAACAAATGAAATTAACAATTATTTATATGCCATGGTTTAATTTGGCTATATTGGAAGGAATTTCTGCATCCAAAATCACAGGATTTAGAAATTCAATATTTTATTGAACCAGAAGATATGAAATTTATGATACATTACTGATCATAATCAATATGCTCCAGTAAAATTGACTAGAACAAACTAAAAACTGAACAAGAGACGTAATTTAATGATAAATAAAGTACAAATGAAACACCAATAGAGACACCGAGAAGACAACAAATCATAAATAATACACACACTAAACAGTACCAGTTACTAGAGCAAAATACTAGTTTAAGAAGTAGTGGCTTGGTGGGCATTAGGATTTTCAGGAACTTCAGGCACCTCTGGCTCTGTCACAGCATGCAACTCTGACTTAGGAATTTCAGGTACTAAGGCAGCTTTGGTATTGCAGACAACTCTGATTTCTGCAGTAGTGGCTGAAGAACCTGCACTTCAGGGATTGGAACAGCAGGCAACTTTGGCTTTTATAAATGAGCTAGTTAGTCTTGCATCACATTGGGTAGACTTTTTTTTTTTTTTGGTACATTGCCAGGAGGTATCCCCATTCAACCTTCTCCGGGCACCATGCCCTCGGGGTACGGCCCGTCTTGAGGCAGGGTTTGATCCCTGCACCAAGCAATCCCTTGGGAGCTCAGCTACCAACTGAGCTACCCTTGGGGGTTTTTTAATTCAGGGTAGACTTTAATTTAGGCTACATTGAACAAGTACGTATGCAATACCAGACATGCTCATGTGCATACATATGCATGTAGCTATAAGCCTACAATGATGACAGAATTATTAAAGAATCAAATAGCACGCAACAGTACAGAACAGCTCTATTCATGAAATTCAGTCACTAAGATGGGAAATTTCTTGATGGTTCAAGAGGTGTGAAGCACAAAAATATAATACTTATCTTGTCAAAATAAAGACAAAGCAAAGAATGAGAAACAAATGGAATAAATGAACATCTTTAATTGAGAAACTTCTGGAAGAATTCCATGTCTCCTTGCCATGTCATAATGGCATTGCATGTGATAACATCTGTAACATCCCCAACCTCGAGCCGGTTCAATTAACATGCATATAATACTTAACAGAAACAGCGGAAGACTTAACTTACGAAAATAAGAACTAACTTTTTCTTTTTCTTTAATCCTTTTTCACATGACATATCACATTGCATACTTCTTCTAATTTAATTCTTATTTTACGGAGACGAAAATCGAACAGAGTAACCTCTGTAAATCGGACAACTGGGGACTTTCCAATCCCACTCTCAAGAGTTCCTGATAGACAGTTTAAACAATATATATTTCCAGAAGTACCAGTCATGCAAATATACTCAGATACCCATCTATGGGCGCATGCTGAACTTGGCTCCGTGCCACAAATCTAATAGCATGCAATCCAATACATAACATAACTGAATACTACATAGTCATATCATCATGCCTGAATACATAAATGTACATGTATCGAATATGAACACTATGCAACAATACATCTTTTCCAAAAATACGTCTAAAACAAATAGTAGCATCCGACCACCCAGAACTCCACATCCTCATACTAGTACCTCTAGCCACGGTTAGTGTCCTGGTCCCATGAGGCTCTTCAATTAACTGTGTTCCTGAAATCATATCCCCAAACGGGGTTAGAAACGAATCTCTAGTAAACTCCAGGTTTATGGAAAACCCTCCATACCCTGGGCTCACTTCCTGCATGACAGTCAGATACATAATATACAAAACATCATATAAGCAATTATCATAACTGAACAAAGCATATATACATATCTTATCAAAGACAAACGCAGTCATTCCCAATGGATGACCCCAAGCGAAAATCAACGCACGTAACAAATATCTTTTACAAAAATCATCACAATACTCATATCAGAACAAACGTGTTATATCAGAGACGTACGCAATCGTTCCCAAGGGATGACCCCAAGCGGAAATCAACGTACGTAACAAATATCATTTACAAAATCATCATACATATCCCATAAAACATGTCATATAATCAAATATCATAACTAAACAAAACATATACACATATCTTATCAGAAACGTACGCAGTTATTCCCAAGGGAGGACCCCAAGCGGAAATCAACGCACGTGTTCCCAAGGGAGGACCCCAAGCGGAACCAGAACATATCAGAGGCGTACGCAGTCATTCCGAAGGGAGGACCCCAAGCGGAAATCAACGCACGTGTTCCCGAGGGAGGACCCCAAAGCGGAACCAGAACATATCAGAGGCGTACGCAGTCATTCCCAAGGGAGGACCCCAAGCGGAAATCAACGCACGTGTTCCCGAGGGAGGACCCCAAAGCGGAACCAGAACCTATCAGAGGCGTACGCAGTCATTCCCAAGGGAGGACCCTAAGCGGAAATCAACGCACGTGTTCCCGAGGGAGGACCCCAAAGCGGAACCAGAACATATCAGAGGCGTACACCATCAGTCCCGAGGGAGGACCCCAAAGCGAACATCCGGGTACTATACAATCAATGGCCAGATATTGTTACAGAAATCATATTACAGAAGTCATATCATAACAAAACATATCATATTAACACATATCAAAGTAAATACATCAAAACAAAACATATGATATTATCATATAGCTCTATATGAATGCATCTATATCATATATCTCATACATATCATACAACCTGACCACAGTCAGTACACTATGGCGGAACACAAAGTAGGAGCAAACCCCATAAACATAGAGCTTACCTCTTGGAGCTTTACAATTTGCTTACTTGAAGAACAAGCTATTTATCTTGCTCCACGAGAATCCAAACGTTCACAGTCTCTAGGCACACCTAGAGAAGGAATTCAACACAAAACTCAATAAAATGATATAATGCCATGTAAATATACAAGACACATACTTTATTGTTTATTTTCTTTTTACTTAATCATATTAAGTCATGAGTGGGTGGTTCTTTGTTCAACAAATCCCTACAAAATTCCACATGTTCACTTAGTCTTAGGATAGTCCCAAAAGGCCTTTAGAACACTCATTACTCCTCTTACCACCTAAAAGCCTATTTTTCCCAATTTAAGGCAGAATGCCCATTACAAAGGAGCTATAAGATTTCTCTTTGTCTAGTGCCTAAACCCAAGCTTAGCCACCTATATAAATTATTTTACACATATAAGTGTTCTTACTTTGCGAAACAATATCTCCGCACATATACTTCCTTTGAAAATGGCCAAAACTCATTTTAAGGCCATACAAAGGAGCTACCTTATTTTCTTTTTTATTTCACCAAAGCGAAGGTCTATACACCTTAAAATATTATTCCACGCATAAAATTATGCTCGCTTTGTAAAACAGTAACTCATAGCACATACTTCCTTTGAAAATGGCTAAGAGGCACATACAAGAAATCATGCCAACTTCATGATTCCAATGCTTTAGTCCATCAAATTCAAGCTTATCACACACCTTTAATCCAAGATTCATTAATTCATATATATACAGTATTGTTCCTCTCTACAGTACTATTCATGTATACGTCATTATTCACGTATACGACACTATTCAAAAATACGTTATCTTTAATTTTTTTCAAATACATTTTCACCGTTAAAATTCTCATCTAAACACTTTTCTCAACATGAGCTAAACTTGAATCAAGCTCTAACATGTTCAATCAAAACAAATTTTCAAAATGAAAACCTAAATTCAATCTTCATAAAAACATGAAAAGGAAGGGAATTTCTTACCACAATGCACTCTAGAACAAAGGAGAGATGAGTTCCTAAGCTCCCGTGGCCTCAAGCTCCATCAAAATCTATCTTTTCCATGAAATTCGAAATCTTTGGGGGAGAAGATCTCTCTCTACAGTGAACCCCACCCAGAAATATTGGTACCAATAGGTTCCTCTCGAAATTTCTCACAGGTTTGGCTTTGGAACGGAGAGATTTGGAGGTCTCTAGCTCAAGTTATGAATTTTGGAAGATTTAAAACCAAAATCTCCGTTCTTTCTTTCCCTTACTGTCGTCGGATGAAACGTAGAAGAAGGAGAATAGTGACTTAATTGAGTCAATTAATGAGTTTACGTATAAGCTTATCTATCTACACACCTCCATTCATTACCAAACTTTACCCTATGGACTAGAATATTTTTCTAGTCACTTTTTTATATTTACTTTCACTTTTTGGATAACTTTATTTACCCGCATTTTTACTACTTTACTATCATTTTAACTCTCTTTTTCACCAAAGTTGACTTATTTCTTTTTCTTTATACTTATCCTTCAATATTAAATCCATAACTACTAGTGAGGGCTATTATAACATCTTTTTCTGTCATACTGAAGAAGATAACTCCTAGCCGATATCAAATCACCACATTTTGCGTACATACTACCTAATCAGGAGTTTAGGGCCATTGTGTTTTCACAACAAACCACCCATCTCCTCCCTTGCATAACCTATTTTGAGTAACCGAACTCAACGAATATCATGAAACCAAGTCCCTCTCACTATTTTCATCAAAGACTTCCCCAGTTAAAAAACTCAGAGCACCTTACATACATCATAATCAAAGAGTGATTGGTGTGAGTGTGACTATTATTATCAGCGTTCAACCCTACTTCAACTATGGATGACTAGGCTGCCCGGGCTAGGTTACTATCTAAAAGGTTTGCATAAGCAATGAACAAAAATGGGTAGGAAAATTTGTTAAGCTTCAGGCCTAAGATCTTCAATGTACTTATCATCCAACTCAAACAAAGAAAAGAGTATGCACCAAAAGCGAGAGAGAGAGAGAGTGCTCATGCTATGTGATTGTTACTAGTACTGAATGCTGGTTAGGTCACTAATCATGAGATTAAAGGCAGAGTTATTTGGTTCAGTGATTTGAAAGAAGAAAACCGAAACATATGTAAAGTCTATAAGGTTTACGATTTTTGAGAGTAGATGACTGGGTTCCTGTCTGTAGTTTTTACATGCATTTGACAATGATATTCATACAAGGGCTTGGCGAACAAATCTTCTTTTTCTTTTTTCACTTGGTAGATAGGAATTTTTCAGAGCGTTCCGAATGGTTAGTAACTACGCCAGTTCTTAAGTGAGATGGTGCATTAGTCGAGAAGGAACTCTTGATTCAAACAACGTTTACAAAAATCACATTGATTATAAAGAGAAAAAAATTGGAAAGGAGGGAATCATATAACAAATACACGGCGCCATTTCCACCTAAAGAAACATATCCCACTTGTTATCATCAAAAGAGTACAAAGAAGAAAATTTCCATCACTAGCTCACATGCCCATAGTACGTTGACCTCAAAAGTTTTTCAAAAATCACTAATACACAAATACGAGAAATGGTAGGGGTTTGTTCAAATCAATTGAATTAGAATATTTCATAAAATCAACATCAATATCACCTTTGTTCCAATCTTATTGGGGTTCGCAGTCTCTTATTTAATTCAGCCTATGCTTCTAAAGTCCTATTAGTACAAAATTTAGAAAAGCAATAGGATACATTATATAGAAAAAAAGAAGTAAATACTCAGCACCAAAATATTTTATTTTTGGCAGAAATTCTTCCATTTTCCTCCATTTTGGTTCCCCTGTAATCCAATGTCCATTTCTCAAATGAACAGTCAATGAAGTCGTAGTAACCACCATGAATAAAGAGTTCTTCCTTCGTCACCTTTTCTTCTATCCATGGGTAAGTAAGTAGGTTTAATAACGAATGGTTAAGTGATTCCTGTACAAAAATCACTTAAAAGAATTAAAACTTGAAAGTATTCGACATAATCAACTTCTTTATGGATTAACATTTGCATGACTCCTATTAGTTTGATCATATCAAGCAATAAGAAACAGAACATGATACTACTTGAGACACTCAATGTAAACCAAAGAAGAAAGAATTCAAACAAAAATACTCATGTTGTTTTGTTTTGAGGAATGCAGATCCTATTTTCACAAGGGAAAAATATGATAGATGTTTGAATTCCTAACATGAACTCAGGCTAAGGAGTCAGGACTGTCAGAAAGCAAAATAGGAGAGGGTTTGTTTCAAAGAAATCATGAGAACCATCAGGGCACTAATCTTGCCTGATATTTTTTCCTTCGAAGCTTTAGAACCCAATATCAACATATGCCTTCAAGTTGGTAATCCCAAATTTTTCATCACAATCCAATATTTTTAGCCAAAAAAATCCAAAACTGAGGAGAGGATGAACAAAATGCAAAAGTGAAAAATAATACATAAAAAAGGTATATATTCACCAAAATCACATTAGAAGAAACTGCAGATATGGCTTCAAGATTACTTCTGTTTAAATACCAGTAGTGTGTACCACCCACCCCCTCCAATCTCGGGGGAAAACCATAAATCATCTAGCCCTATTCGCGGACAGTTCATATCATTCAACTTTTTGATATTTCAACAGCCAAATTACACATTCAAATCTAAGAACAAAAAATATCACCTTCTCACAATGCCTGCACTGCTCATCAAAGCTAAGGTTGGAAGCAGCAGCCTCGGTTTTTATTCTTGCATTCTTCCCAAGAACTACCCAACTTTTTATAAAGCTACAAGGAATTAAAAATTCAAGTGAGAAATGTATAGAACATTTTTACCAATGGAAGCAAAAGGACAACCAGCAACTAGAATAAAGCACCTTGCATTGGCATCATCCTGCATACTCATAAGGGCACGTATACCCCCACAGCAGCTGTGGCCAATGACTAAGATGTTCTTAACCTGCAATGAAAATAATTTTGTCTCTCCTCAAAAATAAGTACAAATCTTAGTGTTTTCTGACCAGCCACTAAGAAAGCTATTAGAATCTTATACACTCAAATATTCTACAAATGTTTCTTGCAAGCCCTAACTATTAGAAGGAACGCCATATGACTTTATGTTATTGGTTGATGATAAAACCTTCCTTGTATGTCGTAGGTAATAAAATGCTTACCTGAAGGGAGTTTACAGCAAATTCTAGTGCAGCATTTGTTTCTGAGGGTCCACTCTGTATCAAGCAAAAGGAATTAGAAAAAGGTATCTCTTTTATTCACCATTTAGCAATGATAATAAAATTGTAAATGCAGACAACCAAATAAATCAGTAGCAGGGAGACTCATACCTCAAAGGGAGGAACCAAGTTAGCAACATTGCGAATCATGAATGCTTCTCCAGGTTGAAATCCCAAAATATTTGAGGGGCATACCCGAGAATCTGCACAGGCAATAACCATGAACTGTTCTGCGAATTGTTAGTAAAGAATACTTACTTTGTTAATGCTTCAGTAGACAAATTGAACAAATGGACTGAAAGGAATAAGCAACAAAACACAAATCAATAAACAACTAAAAGCTTAGCCAAAAGGAAGGGTAGAGAGAACGAGAGACAACAATTACCTTTGGTGCTTGAGCCTTTGCAAGACTTTCAAAGTGTTCAATGTTTGTCCTGCCAGAAAACAGAATCAACATCAAATAAGTTTCTTCATCATTTTAGGCATCAGAAATGAGCATTTCTGAACAGGGCTTTTCTGAAGCTTACATATATTTATTCTTCTTAAAACTTAAAAACCTATCCTTCAGATCATTAAATATATCACACCCATCAGCTTCAGCTAAAGTCTCTGGCTTGGTGTTATTAAGTTGCTTTGTAAATCCTGGTGGCCCCATAGAAGCCTTTAAAGTGAAACCTTGACTTCTGCAAAAATTAGAACAAGGTATAGAAGCCACATAAAAAAAAGGTTCCAATGGATTTCATTACAAAAGAATAATTCAGTTAACCGATCCTACTTCTTACTTCTAAGGAATAGCTACAGAAACCGTAAATTAATCAAGTATTAGAATCAGAGCGCGCACATACAGATTACAAAGAATGAAAATGACAGCTTCGGACTCTGATTACACAAAAACATAAATCTTATTTATAGAATAGTGATTAAAATATTTGGAGTTGTTTAGAGAAGATTGCAATATGCAATTAAGCAGAATGAAACTGCAGGTCTGCAACCCTATTCAGCAAGAGATCAGAAAACTTAGTTTCCCTTCTAAAATATGCAATTTACTCACTGTTTAGGGGTGATCCAAAGTTTACAGTCATTTTCATTTATTTATTTATTTTGGTAAATCAATATTTACAAATAGAACCTAGAAGCATAGTAAAGATCAAATGAGTCCTCCCCTATATATTTTCTTTCCAAATAATTATTTCTCAACTCTAGACAATGGGGTTTCAAAAAATTACACTAGCTAAAAATGAAAATCCCGGAAATGGAAGAAAATTCACACAAGACTCGGCAAGTAAGCATAGAAAGTTGGCCACAAACCTTAAAGCCGTCAACAATCTGAAATGGGTTTGCTCAATTTTCCCAGTTTTCAGCGTACGACCAAAGATCTGCCACAGCAGTGTCACTATAAGTAGCTCATTCACAGAAAAGAAAAAAAAAAAGAACAAAAATGAGCGTCATGCGAGAATAGAAGAATACCGTTGATGTCCTAAGCTCAATGCAATAAGTGGAGGAGGATAAAGGGAGAGACTTGGAAGCAAACGGGTCAGTTGAAAAGGAGATTGGGGTAGGAACTGCCATTGGAGAGCTCAAACTCAAATGAAAATTGGGAACTGAAAAAAACAATCATGTTTGGGAATCAAAAGTAATAAAAAGTACGGTGGGTAAAGTTGTTGGTTACGTGAGTAAACATGTATTGTGTTGTGTTGTGTTGTGTTGTCTCCAAGAAAGACGGAGAAACCAAGGTTTTTAAGTAAGGGGGGGATCAAAAAATATATATATTCTTTTGCACAACCACCACAAGTTCCCCATGATTCCATCAATTTACGCTTTTGACTTTCTGACCTATCACGCCCCAAAGGGCCATTAAATTAGTGGTAAGTTCTGGAATATAGATGCATATGCGTATGATATGTCGTGAAAATGGAAATTCCAAAAAAAGGAAACAATAAATGGTGCCAGATAGGTAAAGGTAAATAATTATATTGATTTGTAAACTTAGCATAGTCTAACTTTATTTGATGCTAATATGATGCTGTTTAATCGTACACGACTGTATTGATGCATTCGTCTTAATAAAAATGTCCTTTATTTATCTGTGGCATTATACTTATAAAGCGCGTTTTGTACTGCTTGATAAAGAAGATAGGATAAGATAATTTATCATATCTTACTTTTATCTCTTATTTGGTAGGTCAATAGAATATGATTAGTTTATCTTATTGTCTCATTTTATCCTATTTAATACATGATTTCTTATCCTATGGGGGGAGCTGGTTTAGAATTCAATAGGATAAGATATCAATATTGGATACCTAATATATCCTTACGTTATCCAATCTATCCCCACGCTACTTAATATATTTATATTTATTGCATTATATTTTATTTTTTCTCTCTCTTTTCTCCTTTTACATAATCTTATCAGATTGCTAATTAAGTGTTCATCAAACACAAGACATCATATAGGCTTATCAGCCTCATATCATTTCCTACTTCTATGAGCCTCATATCATATCCTACAATTATCCTATCATATTCATCAAACGAGGTCGTATAATATTTGCATCTCCAATTATTAGATTCAACATAATTTAGCTGTTATTAATTTATTTATTTTCAACATGGAAAAGATATATTATATCGTAAGTTCAAATGAATTATCTTTTTTAAAATTAAAATATGCACCATTACAACTCCTTCGCTAGTATTTTATGCTAGGGATATATTTTTTTTATGTTGTAGGAAAAGAATTACCTCATGTTGTAGAAATAAAAGTATAAGTGGGACCCACATGTAAGAGGAGAGAGAAAAAAAAAGTGGTGGGACCCAACCTTTTTTGTGTGTGTAGGAGAGATGTTTATCTCATGTAAAATGAGATAAACATAACCCTTTATGCTACTCTCAAAAGAGAAGTGCTACCCCCGGAATAGTTCTCCCTTTCCAAAAAAATTGTGCAAATGCCACCTGATACTTCCAGGCTCCAGCTCATTCACCACCAGTCCACCATATTCCCGTTGGAAGTAATCTCATTCCTCTCTATTTTCTTTTTTTTGTTTGTTTTTTCCCCAGATTTCGATGTTACAAGTAAAAAATGTCTAAGTCAACTTGTGTGTGTATATTGGGCCAAAATAATTTTGCAATTAAACTCTAAATTTTAATCATTTGATCTTGCTTGCATCTAATGATCCCGTAAATAATAAATTAAAATCATTAGCTAAAAATATATTAATAATTAAAATTTGATATAACATTTATTATTCTTATACTAATGGGCAAATTCCAGTGCACAAAACTATATAACCCTTGAGTTAGAAGGAACAACCTTACCCCTAGTTTAAAACTCGCCCTTATTATTCTTACACCTCTATAAAATAATATTGCCCATATATATAATATAAAAGCTCAAACAAAAGCACTCTTTAAATGAGGAAGTTAGAGGAGTCAAACAATTCGAGCCTTGTTATTTGGTTAGGCAATAGTGGATTTACAAAACTAGACTCGGTCCAGAGAAATCGACAGACTAAATAATCTGAGCCCAAATAGCAGGCCTATCCAAATTATGATGTTCTATCTGGGCCTTATTATTTTCTTGTGCGGAACCTAGTTAGTACAACAGCAGTGGGGGCCCATAAAAGGTATCGACGGCCCCAATTTGATTACACGTCCCCTTGTGTTGACCTTGCTTGTAGTGAATGGGTTTAGCGAAGAAGAAAGCATACATAGTAATAAGTGAATAACTCAAAACTATAGTCGGCGATATCTGACTTATGAGGTAACCAGTGGTAGAGGTGCGGGCCAGAAGTCTTACGGGGCTTTTGGCTCGACTTGTGAAGGTCTGAGATTATATGTCTAAAATTAATTGTTGAATCCAGGTTTGAACGTGTATAAAAACTCGTTTAATAAAAAAGTCTCAAGCTCCAATTCAAAAGCTCGGCCTTAGAGCCTCTCTGGCTTGCCTAATATATTATTATTTTTTATTTTTTTATTTTTTATACTACTTGTGATAGCCTTCTCTCTTCTCAATTCATTTCATCCCATTTTATTAATTAAACAGACTTCTCTCTTCTCAATTCATTTCATCCCATTTTATTAATTAAACAGACTTTTTAAATGATTTTATTTTATATTATGCTATTTGTATATACATTAAATTTATGAATATTTATAGAATTACTAATGCTGTTGATTATATATTTTGTTTGGATAAATTTTTGTTATCTTATTTTTTTTAAACAGGCTAACAAGCTAAGCAAGACTTTTATTTTTTATAAATGAGTCATGCCACAGGCTGATATTATATTCGTAACAGGTAACAGATTAAGACCAGTCTGACACATTTGAACACAGTCGGCCCGTTAAGACCAAAGCTCGGCTCGTTAACACCCCTAACTAGTGGTATCTTCATTTTTTTTTTATTTCTTCTATCCCTTAAGGTAACTCAATTAGATATATTTACATAGATCGACTACTTTAGAATTACAAGTCTATCAGAATTGTGAATATGGGGCCGTGACCGCCGGTACTTTGGCGGAGCCAAAACAGAATTGGATGTGCAATTCTTATTGTAGCACTACCATAGAACTTGTCCAATATCAGAATTTTCAGGGAGAAGAGACACTCTTAACACTTCATAAAGCATAGTGTATAAGCCAATCTCACCTTGAAGGCATCCTGACAGATGTTTATGAAAACAAAAAATACAACTAACAATCCCTTTTAGAAGAAAAAAAATGCTACATGCAACTAAGGGAAAATTGCAGACGGATCAACAAAACAAATAAGCATAGGAAGGCCATTCTTTCCGAACTCAGTAAGGCACCTGCTGTGATCCCTGTCCATGACTTGTATCAATAATCATTATATACTCCTTCCCAAGTCTGAGATCAAGTAGAGGACTACAAACAGAATGCTTAAAGCACCTAGAAAGATGCAGCATCTGAGCCAAGTGTAAGCTTTAATAACCATTACCCAAGGAGATATTACTATAGCGGTCTATTTCTGAAAGGGAATTAAAGCACACAACCAAATGAGGGCGCACCTACAATTTGAAAAGGATAATTGAAAAGGATAAGCAGCACCTAGTATAAACAGTTCACAGGTAAATATTAAAATAATATACCAAACACATACCCTGCTGGATTCATAGGCAAATCCAAATTAGTTGACATTTTGAAAAGCTGAGGCAAGTAGACAAACCATAAGCAATCTCTAGTAAATGTGAGTGTCCTTAAACTACACAAGCAGTTAACAGTGCCAAAGACCTAACGGGTATTACCACACCCAGTTATTGCTTCGTAAAAAACACTAGTTCTATGTTTAAGCCTGGAAGAAAAGGACGAAGAACTAACCAGGATGAAATGAAAGAAAAGACTAGACATAGACAAAACAGCATAATCCTCAGGGAGAGCTCAACTAATACTCCAAAATAAAAGCTTCTTGAGAAAATTTCAGCTTCTTTCAACATTTCCATTTACAACATTTTAACACATTGACCAGAGAGAAACAATTACAAACGATAACTTATTTCAAAGAATCTTCACCTTACAAAACAAGAGTAAAGCCAGAGAAATACCAAAGAAGAACAGAGTAGAATAATCACCACTATAAAAACAAAAATAAAAAACCCAAGCGTTATGATCTCGTTAGGTAGGAATTGGGCTATATGAATCAACAAAACATGAACATAAAACGAAACACCTATATCGATTAGGGAAATGTTTTGCGTACAAGGTATAGCTAACAACTACGGTTACCTACATATAAGAAAGATGACTGACACACACACAGTTCAGAGTTTAAGGGTCAAGTACAACTCCAAACCAAGCTCTCATGTGTCATTAGTGTGAGTGTGTGATTCAATGAGTAATACATCCTTCCACCACAGAACAACTACAATCTACATGAGATAAAGTAAAGCTCCTTGGATAGTTCAAAACAAAATAAGGAGCTATTGCCGCAAATTATTATAAGACAAAACATGACAACAATTCACAACAGCTCAACATCATTTTGTGCGACAGGTACCAACCTACAAGTAAATCTACAACAACAGAAAGCAGACGCCTACAGGACTATTGACCCTTAACCTTTTCATCCGCAACAACATTGAGAATGGGTAAACTACTCAGGAATTCATCAAGCCCCTCAAAAAACCCAATCCCTTCTATATTATCCTCAGCATTCCCATTTCCAGTAACATTCCCATTCACATTCCCTTCATTCACTTCAGGGGCAGGCTCTTCCACCTCATTGCTAAATTCCACATTCAAATCCAACTTGCCCAAGTTTCCTGCACCCCTCCTCCTGGAACTAACCAATACTGCTTTCTTGCTAGATTCCGGCCTTGCAGCATTTGACCCTGCAGAGGCACCATCAACAGCCTCACCATTATCCACATTAGCATGCCCATCACTATTATGAATCCCCCTCCTAGGTCTCTCAATTGGTGTCCTTTTACCACTAACACCAGCACCAGCAGAGCCTTTTCTCCTTCCCCTCTTCCTCTCCTTCCTCTCCTTCCTCTTCCCGCGCCGCCAGTCCCAGTCATCGGAATCCTCCTCCGTCGTGTCGGAAAGATCCACGAACTCCGCAGAAGCATCATCGTCATAAAAAACCCAATCCTTTTTACGAGGCTTATTGGAATCTCCTCTCAAAGAGCAAGGAAACAAAGGAGAAAAAGGGTTCCACTTGGAAGAAGACCCACCGATATCCTTGAAATTGCCAGAAAACCCTACAGGGAAAAATCCCCAACTGCAAAAGGAACCATCTTTATCATCCCCGGTCAAAGAAGACGAAGGCGGTGACCTCACCACCACCGCATGGAACCCCCTCCGGCAACTCTGGCAGCGGAGGGTACACTCCTCGTACACCTTCGGGTACTCGTACATGACGTAACAGTACGGACACGCCGTCCAGAAACTTCTCCCTTCGGTCTCACTCGTCCGAGTCGACTCGGTCACATTGTCGTGACTCGGCCTGTCTTCCTCAGCAACGACCCTAACGATATTGGACGTAGGGTTCTGAATCGGCGGAGCAGGGGGAGGGGGAGGGGGAGGTGGAGGAGGTGGAGGAGGAGGAGGGGGTTCGGTGAGCAATCTGAGTTGGTTGTCGTATAGTGCCTTCTTTGTTGGGTTGGAGAGTACGGTCCACGCGTCATGGACGAGCGTGAAGGCGTGACTGGAGAAGGCGAAGGGGTTACGGTGAGGGTCAAGGAGGATGACCAGGCGGCGGTACTGGGCGGCGATGTGCTCGATGTTCTGAGTGTACCGGAGGACTTGGAGGATGGAGTACAAGTCGAGGTGGTCGTTGATCCGAGACTCGCCGGCGAGGAGTGTGTCGATGACGGCGAGGAGGAGCTCAGTTGCGTCGAATCTCGGGTCGGATTCTCGGGCCCGGATGGCGAATGAGCGGGCCCCGTGCAGGTCACGTGCGGTGAGGAGCTTGTTGGCTGTGTAAAGCCACCGTTCAGCTTCGGCTCTGTTGGACCCAGGCCCACCGTGACCGTCCATTGTGTGATGATGATGATGATGATGAGTGTTGTGTGTTGTGTTGTGCTGTTGCTGCGAATGGGAATGGTTTTTGTGGGAGAAAATGGTGTGACCAGAAAGGACAGATCGTGGATGAAGAGTGTTGACTGTTGGCCGAGGGCATTTTCGTCATCGTGATGCTGATAGGCAAACGATGATCACGTGGCGTTTGCTGAGGCATTGACCTTGACCATTGTTAAACAGGGAAAACAAAATAAAAACGCCTTTGTAGGGTAGATGTGTATGTGTCGTACGAGATTCATCATTCATGGATGAGAGATGATGAAAGACAACGTTAGAAAAGTGACTAAGGTTTCTATACCGTCTTATAAAAACCGTTCCTATCAACAAATCGTGGTAGTTTTGTTGGCAGTAATACAATTGAATAAGTAGAAAATTAAGAGCTCCATCGGTTAATCCATAAAGAGGGCTCTTTGATTCATTGGGATTTTTTTTGAGATTTTAATATATCAATTTGATATTTAATTAATAGTATTTAACTATTTATCAATAGGGGGTTGTTGAGTGACGCGAGGGGGACCCAGCGAACCACCGCCGCGTCACTAACACATTTTTTTTTCAATTGAGTGACGATTCTCTTTTCTTGGAAAACTCATAGGATTGTGCCACGTGGCACAATCTCGTTAGTTCTGTTACAGTAAAATTTCGGAAGACAATAACTTTTGACTTGAGTATTTAAATCAAATGATTTTTTTTATTTCACATAACTTTTCGAGATCTGCGCAATGACACATCATTTGACATATTTCATCTTCCATCAATATAGTTTAAATTTGCAACAATAGTTCTACACTTTTACAATTCGAACTATGTTTGTGAGAGATAAAATATATCAAATGAGGTGTCATTGTGTAGATCTCGAAAAGTTATATGAAATAAAAAAAATCATTTGATTTGGATACTCAAATCAAAAGTTATTACCTTCCGAAATTTTACGGTAACGGGACTAACGAGATTGTGCCACTTGACACAATCCTATGAGTTCCCCAGGGGAGGGGGCGTCACTCAATTAGAAAGAAAAAATTGAATGTGTGAGTGACGCGGGGGTGGTTCGCGGCACTCAGTGCCGCTGGGTCCCCCTCACGTCACTCAACGACCCCCCATTGATAAATATCGTGAATCGTGTACCAAATTGAAAAATTAAAGTGGAAAAAAACCCCAAATGGGTCAAAGAGCCCCATAAAGAATGTCCCTAATTAGAGCAATTTAGGTAGTGAACCCGTTATATATTCGATTTGGTATAAATTTAGTGAATTGATCCTAAACTGGATTTAACTAATACTGATTTTTTTAAAAACAAAATTGGTTTCATGGTATTTTGAAAATATTCTTATAAAATATCATCAAGATTTGAATCTAGATCGAATTATAATTTATAGCATTTATCATTAAATTACCTTTATTTATTAATTATAATTCTTCTAATATTATATTTATTATATTTTATTATATATATTTAATTCAAGCGATTGAAATGATCTATTCATTAAATCGATGACTCATTAGCCGAATACTCGGATCGAGCCAATACCTAGTTTGAGTTTGATAACACGGGTGACACTCGTTGCGCCAATAATCGATACTTATCCATTGAAATTAGAAACATAAATTTACCACATATTAAAACTAGGGGTGTTCGGCTGTTCGCGGTCTAAATTGGATCGATTTTGGAAGCAAAAATCATCTAATCCAATACATTTGATTTGATCATGTAATCATCCATTCGGTTTGGATTTTTTTTCAAATCCTATCCGATCCAATCCAAAAAAAAATCGGTTTGGATTGGATCGATTTATTTGAAAATTATAAAAAAAAATTCATGATTATTTTGCAAATAACATCTTTTGTATATATCGGCTTTGTAAATTTATTTATTTTTTGAAATACAAAAGCATCAGTAAACGATAATATAATTTTTATTCTTTTGACAATGAGATATGAAGCTCTACGCAGATGAAATTTTGTTGATGAGATGCGACTAAATTTTTTCTTGAGTTTAGTTGATGGGTTAATGGGTCTTAAGTTTAGAAATTTTTGGGCTATGATTGGGGAAAGGCCCAAGTAAGTAGAGGGGAATTAATATATTGGATCAGTTTGGATTGTATCGGTTTTCATTAACCAATCTGAAAACCGATCCAATCCAATCAAAATTTGCGAGTTTTTTCAGTTTTCGATTTCTCAATTTTTGGTTTATTCGGTTTTTGGTTTTTCGGTTCGGTTATCGCGGTTTGAATCGGTTGACGAACACCACTAATTAAAATAAAGGGTAATACTTTTCTTATATTGCATAAGAAAAGTATTATCTTATACTCGAACAATAAATAGGAAAGAGAAAAGAATTGAAGAATAGCAAAAAAAAATTGTGGGACCCATTTAAAAAATATGAGTGTAAAAGATAATACTTTTCATATGCAACATAAGAAAAATGTTACGCTAAAATGAATGCACTGAATGAGTTTTATGTGAGTGGGGTATTTAGGATATTCATGACAACCATCAGAGTATCAATTTTTTTTATTTCTGTACCCTGGAAAAGAAACGGATACAAACAACATTTGGAAAAAAACCAGTTTATTCTTTTGTTCTCGGGATAAACCGGTTTAAATTTTGTGCTGGGGAATAAAAAAAAAAGAAAAAAATTAGCTTCTCTTTTTTTTTTTTTTGTAAATTAGCTTCTCTTTACCATGGCACAAAAAGAGAATCACTTTTTGTTTTTGCTTTCTCATTCGTCATACTCAACCCTTTTTCAAAAAAAAAAAAAAATATTTCTCTCAACCACCGACCTCGAGAACCACCTTAAAAGCAACCCATCACCTCACATCTTCATCGACGAACCACATATCCAACACCGTGCCCAACCAAACCACCACCGACAAACCTCATTCCCTCTCACAAATTACCGTTCCACCTTTCATTGAAACTCTAAATATCATCTTCTTCGCCACAAACCTCTGTGGCCATCACCAATTTCATCCCACAAAAACCCCAACCCTTCGACCACTAGCATCCACCAACGCTAAATCTACAAAAACCGACCCACAAGCAAGTCTCTCACAATCGACCCTGCCAGCTCCCCTCTCCTTCCACCAAAGTCATCATCGTCTTCCTCTATCATCCCGTCATTAACCTCGCCGACCAAGCACCACTTTTGCAAGCCACAACATCTCACCGCCCATCCATCTCTTCTTTCTCTCTCACCATCGACGCCGACAGCCACATTTACTAGTCAAAAGCACCTCAACGGTAGTGTGTTGTGATATGAAGCGGTATGGCAGTGCCATATATGTTAAAGAATTTAAAATTTAGAATACTAAATAAAAAATTAAAAGTAATTAATATCTTAGAATATATTGATATTTTATAATTTAAAAAATGAAGATAAGTAAATGAAGGGAAATAAATTTCATTTTTATTCCTTAAGAATAAATTTTTTAATTTTTTATAATTATTTGTGGGATACAATTGAAAAATTACCAAAATATACGTTGAAAATTATTTTGTTCGCTCTCAAATACTACCAAACATTTAGCACTTAATTATATTTTAAAAAATTAGATAATTATTTATTAAATGAGAAGATAGTATATGAGACTAAAAAATAATAAAAAGTACTACCGGGTGAGTTATTGGGATTTGAGAGGCATGAGAGTCTCAAATATTATGAAAATGGGGACTGTGCTTTAAAAAGCTATTCAAACTCACACTCTGAGAATCAAAACTCAATACTTTTAAGCTAACTATATTCAACATATTGATAAATTACTTTCATTAACATTTAAAATTTTAAGCTTTAACTAAACAATTATAATTACTCCAAGAATGAATTTAGACAATATAATTTATTTTAAATTTCAAAAAATATGAAATAAATAAATCATAAATTTGATCTCAATGCTAAAAATTTCACGACAGACTCATTGGTGTTGGTTCCATATGAATTTAAGAGGACGATGAATTAAGTTTATTGAAATTTTTACAATTTAAAAAAGGGTTTGGTGTTTGTCCTTTTAAATGATATAAAATTATGTCCTTTAAAGTAAGAGAAAAAGATACATGATGGACATCAAAAGGGGGAAAAGTGGACGGTTTTTTTAAATTTAAATTCTAAAAAAAAATTAGTTTTAACTAAAATGACCTTCTTTTAAAACGATAAACATTTTTCCTTTAAAAACATACACACAAATATGATAAAATAAAGAGCAAAGGAAAGAAGTGACCACACACACAAATATGATAAAATAAAGAGTAAAGGAAAGAAGTGACACATGGTTTATTTGATTGTGTTCTGATTTTTTTGTTCTTAAAACTGTTTTGTAGAATAGTTATGGAAATAAATATATTTTTAAAGTTAATAGTCAAAACAAAAAGTAAAAACAACTCATACATGTTTTCTAAAATTTGATTCTAAAAACAAAAAAACAGTTGTGACTTTTAAAACTTTTTTTATAAAACATGGCTTATCAAATTTGTTAAAGAACACAGTGAAAATTAATTAAATGTTAAACAATAAAAGGTTTTAAAGTTTGGACATGATTACGGTTTCTTTTTATAATATTTTCAGGTTTAAAGTGTTGAATTAAAGTTTTAATGGATCAATAAAATTGAACAAGTCAAGAATGAAGCCAAGACTCAAGAAAGGAGAATATTTACATCAAGCTTGGGCTAGACTTAAAGGATTATAGACAAAATGCTCGGATCACCTTTATAAAGATTGGCAAGTGGCTCACATTTTTTGTAACCGTTTGTTTCCACTTTCAAGAATAAATTTAGATTTAGCAACTGGAAGACCACTTTATCTGAGAAAACCTGAAGAAGCTCTAGTACTGATCGAGAAAACGATTTACGATGAATATCAAGCACTCAAGGCCTAACCAGTAGTTGAGAAAGGGGTTAAGGAGGAGACATCCATTCTAGCTCAAGAGACGTGTATAGAACAACAAAATACCCTCTCTCATTGGGAAAAGGCACTCTTACGTCTGACTAAATTGGAGACATTGTTCAAGCAAGAGATTAGATCTTTGTTCAAAACCAAAAGGCATCCACAGGAGATCCTGAGCAACTCACTGAATATATTGAGGGAAATTTGCACTCGGAAGATCAAGATATGGAGAAAGCTATTGAAGAATCCAAAACTGAGGAGGAATCTGTTGCAAAATAAGAATCCGAAGATGAAGAATATTATGAAATAAGGGAAAAACAAGTGGATGAAATTTATACAGAAGAGACCCCCTCTCCAATGGGAATTACCCTCATGTAGTATCATAATGAAACCCTAGAAATGGAAGAGTATAGAACTGAAGAGGATGCAGGCTATGAGGTGCTAGAGATAAGATCTTCATATGAGCAAGATTGCGAGAAAACTATTCTTTTGATTTCAAGTGAGGTATCCAATGAAAGAAGCACTGACATTCTCACCCCATGGAAGACATATATATTGAGCAAACTTTATATGATGTTGAGACCACTGTGAATCAAAGGCCAATGACCTTATTGGAGAAAATGAGAATAAAGCATATAAGGTCCGCGAAGATGACTTTGCAATTTCCTGAGCACGTTATTCAAGCGTTTGTTTGTATTGCTAAAAATGTGCTAATCAAGGTGAGCAACGTTGCATACACAGATAGTTTTGCAGTAATTGATATGTATGAGAACCCCACTATTTCTCACTTTTTGGAAGCACCATTATTGGCCATTACAGATGTAGTGGTAGTTGAGTTAAAGGATGAGGTGATTCGCGAGGTGGACGAAGACCAGATAAATATATCTGCTTTTATAATTAATTCTCCATCAGTTAGATACTTATCCTCAGATTTATATGAACAATTTGTTGAGGACAAAGGAGGTTTTAACATCTCTGAGGACTGACGAGGGCGGGAAGTGATCGCCGGTGCAAAAGGGCATGGACAAGAAGCGGCTCTTGACAGGCTTCCAATAGAGGGTTACATGAACGAATGAATCTAATCGACACCCAAAATAGAGGGATTCTAAAGACTGTGCAGGTATGAGAGACTGCACAGTTTGTGATAGCTTATAAGAATTAATTGGTACTACCTATACTAACAAGATGCATCTACTTTTCGGTAGCCAGGAACAGAAGAACTCCATAGTTAAGCATGCTTGACTTGGAGAAATTCTAGGATGGATGACCTCCTGAGAGATTTTCCCAGGAAGTGTGCGAGTGAGGAAAAAGCACACTGAAAAGTCTCGTGTTAGTATGTGGGGATAGTCATTGATTCTTGAAGCGGTCGGGCGTTACAGAGGTGGAATAACAAGACTTAAAAATCTTCATTTATTAAGAACTAAAAACAAACACAAGGTAAAGATAAAGAAAACCAAGAAGACGACTATGACCAAGGGAACAAATCCGGTTTTGGATCTTTGCTATAAGTTACCTCGATCATCTGTCAATGTCAAGATAATGACGTTAGATACGCGCTCGTTGGGAGGCAGCCCAACAAATTTTCTTGTTTTCTTTTATTTTTATTTTTGGTGTCATTTTGTTTTGGTTCTTTTTATTTTATCTTATTTCTTTAGTTTTAATTTCTGATCTCCACGGTGATGTATTTTGACAATTTTCTGATGCTACTATTTATTTTTATTGTTCATGCTCCTTGTTTCTAATATGCAGTTATTGCTGAGGACAACCAAATTTTATATTTAGGATTGGAGAGCACCACCATCACAAACTAGTAGTCAGCCATGATCCCTATTACGCGTTAATTTTAAAAAAAAAACAAGGAGCTTTCTTTCTTCTTCTTTTTAATTTCTATTCAATTTTTCTTTTCTTCTCTTGATTGATTTGTTGTTAAAAGTTAGAACTGTATACCAATGGAGAATTAATAGGGAACTAGTCAATTAAATTAATTCATTGTGTGATGACTTATACTGTTTTATTTTGTGAATAAGCATTGATTGAGTAAGTATAAGAGTTAGGAGAAATATTAAAATTACAGTATGAGTATTTGAGAAAGAGTATAATTAACTGAATTGCATACCTATAGCCGTGAGATTTTTGAGCCTAAACAAAAAAATTCTTTTCGGTATGCACTTCACTGTGAGTACTGATATGCGTCTAGCATATGATGCTTTCTAACTTAAAAGAAGCAAGGAATTAATCATAAATGTGTGAAAACAAGTCATAAATGCAAGAAATATTGATTATTCCTCCTTAATCATTCTCTCACTCAATTTATGTGTTTTAATAGCAGGAAACGCCAAAAAAAGAAGTGAATGAGAGAAGTGCATTTTTCCAGCTGGCGCACTTTGCGCGGGACTTGGCGTAAAATGCGCCATTTGATCCAATTCGTCCCTGTATCTTGGCGCAAAATGCGCTGGAGGTGGCGCATTGTGCGCGGGATTGGCGCACTTTGCACGGGACCTGGCGCAAAGTGCGCCATTTGACAGCTTTCCCTCTATTTTATCATGCAAAGTGCGCCAGAGTTGGTGCAAAGTGCGCGGGTGATACTTTTTAATTTTAATCTAATGTGAATTACTCAAAAAAGAGGCCCAATTGGAGAGCAATTGAAAGGAGGTTTTCCTAAAACCTAATAAAAAGATCAGAAACACAAGGAGAAGGCACTTTTTAACAACAAGGAAGAGAAAAACAAAAAAGAGAGGGAGAATTATTGGGAGCTTCTTGGAGTTTCAAAGATTCGAACGATTAAGACGAAAGTTCTTCATCTTCTTTCTCTTCTTTAGGTTCTGAATTTTATTTTCTTTTGTATTGATTTTGTCATACATGAATATGTCTGGCTAGTTATTATTATTGTGGTAAGGGTCACAACCCTTGATGTGAACCCCTTGTAGTTTGGTTGAAGTTTATGTTTATCTATTTAATTGAATTTATCTTGCCTTGTTCTTCGTTCTATAATTCTATTGGAACTGATCAATCTATTAGGATTGCGAGGGTTAGGATTTTCAATAGGGACATTATAATTCTAATTCCTGACAAAGGGTAAGACAACTGTTCATGTATGCACTAGAGATAGGCTACATGAACCGCAAACGTTAAAAATTCATTGATTCTAAGGGTTAACTTGAAAAGGGATTTCTAAGGGATTATGATTCTAATAGAGTTAATAAGGTTAAAGTCACTAAGAAATTAGGGCTTAACTAATCATATAAAAGATGATTAATCGTTTGATCAATTGAATAAGTAAACGTAAATGTAATCCAAGTTGCAAGGTGAGGATTGTAAAGGTGTTTGTTTCCCTTTACCGCAATATTTTCTCAAACATTTTTCTCAACCTTCAATCTTTTGTTCTTGAATTCTAAAAGAACTTTTGAATCATTTACATTTTCCTAAATTGTGCTTATTCATTTCACAAACCACATTTGTTCTTAAAACCACTTTTATTAATCCAACAAGAGAGGAATAGTTATAATAACTTCGGTGCCTCAACCCTCGTGGAGACGATACTCTACTCATCATTTTATTACTTGGTACGATCGGTACACTTGCCGACTGTGCAACAAGTTTTTGGCGTCGTTGCCGGGGATTGAATACGCCAAGTTTATTAATAACTTTTGATTTTCTTGATTAGATTTTGTGTTACTAATCTGTTTGCTTTAGTTTATGCGTGGTACAGTTAATCCTGAAACTTTGATCTACGATCCAGAAATAGAAAGGGCTGAAAGAAGGATAAGACAACTTACCAAGCAGAGGAGGCAAGCATAAACTTCTACTTCACAATTTGAGGTAGAATTAGAGATGGCAGAAGCCAATCCACAACCGAAAGAAGAGTTGATGGAGTCAGTCTTGGCTCCATTGTTTACAAGGCCCAATTCCAGCATTGTGAAGCCACCGATTAATGCCAACAACTATGACATCCATCCATCACTGATCACATTGGTGGAGAAAACTCAGTTTGGTGGGGAGGACTATGAATATCCTCATGACTTCATAGACAGACTCATAAGAATCTGTGATACAACCAAACACCACGGAGTATCAGATGATGCGATCAGACTCTGATTGTTCCCGTTTGCTGTGACCGGGAAAACTCTCAGATGGTTGGATCGACAAGCTCCCAGTAGCATCAGAACATGGGAGTGTTGAGCACTTTTCTATGGAAAAGTACAACAAGTTGGTAAATGAAATTACCAACTTCACTCAACAACTGGGAGAGAACTTTGTGTGCAGCCTGGACCAGATTCCAGGAACTGATCCGGAAGTGCCCCCAATATGACTTGCCAAACACAAAGACGGTTAGAGTCTTCTATAATGGGATGACACCAGACTTCAGAATGATTGTCAATGGTGCAACTGGTGGAACCATAGGAAAGAAGACAGCAGCTGAAACCTTAGAGCTGATTGATTTTATGGCAAGGAATGAGAATGCGTCTATGGCAGCCCAATCTGTTCAGTCAAAGAAAGGACTTATACAACTGGGGAACAATGATGCGTCATTAGCTGAGCAGAAGATGATCTCTCAACAGCTAGCCAGTATGAATGCCAAGCTAGATAAGATGCAAGTCTCAACAGCTCAAGTTAATTTACTTAACTGTGAGTACTGCAAAGGGGAGCATGAGACTAATGAGTGCCCAACACTCATAAGAGCTGAACCGTTCCAGGTCAATGGAGTTTGGTATGATCCAAGGCCACCACAGAATACCCAAAGCTTTCAAAGGAATCAGAATGGTGCCCAGGAAAGCAACTTTCAAAGGAAAAATCAAGGGGGATGTTTGGATTATAAATCCAACAATTACCTGCATCCTCCTCCCCTTCCACATAAAAAGCCATCAGAATTGGAGAAAGCAATGTTGCAGCTTTCTAAGACCATCAATGATCACATTCAGAATACTGATGTCTTCATGAATGAAACAAGAGCTTACCATAAGAACCAATATGCTTCCATCCGGAACTTGGAGACTCAAATTGGCCAACTTTCAAGACAACTAGCTGAGATGAGTCAAGAAAGGAGCAATGCAGTGTCAAAGGAGCAATGCAATGTTATCACTACAAGGAATGAAGAGCTAGAAAAAGAGGAAGTTGAAGTTTCTACAAGAAAGGATGAACAAGCTCAAAAGGATAAAGAAGAAGCAAATGATCCAACCCCCTTGGCACTAGCTTGGTGTTGTTGAATTTTTTGTTGTAGAAAGAATGAGAGAAATAAGTGAAGATTTAATGGGTTTTATTATTTGGCACGCTAAAATTTTTTTGCCCACTCCTGAGAGGGGTTGGATCAAACTCAACTTCGATGGTTCAATTAAATTTCCCACCTTCTAGAGCAGGGTGTGGAGGTGTATTACGAGATGAATTCGAAAAAGGAATTGAGGGGTTTTTGAAAATAGCTATGCATTGTAATCCTTTTCACGCAGATATCTGGAAAGTTTGAATGGCCTCGATTGGGCCCGTCAGTAACAAATCAAGTTATAATTAGACAACTAACGCCATTACACATCATTGGGTACTCCACACGGGGAGTCATTAACAAGACAGAGGAACTGATAGTAACTTGACCTTAAAGGCCGAAGCATGTGAGAGGGAAAAACAAAATTTTTCATACAGAATCACACATGCAATCAAGACTCATACTTTAAGACAGCATGATGTTACCTTTGTTTGTAATTCAAACACCAAGGAGATCAGTGTAAGGTTTGAAGGGTTCAAACCCTCTAACGTTAATCCACACCACCCACGTCAAGATGCAAGAACTCTTCTTGTCAAGCCACCATTTGACCACCACAAAGAGGCTTGCTATGCGCTCAATAGGTGAAGAAGGAGGCTAGGTAAATGTGTTTAGAAGAGTGAAGTCTTCAACATGAAAACTTCACAAGAGTGGGAATGGATTGGAGTAGAATTGGCTAGGCCCTTTTTGAAAACCTTAAGGAGAACTTACCCCTAGTATGCGCACAAGAGAGTGAGAGAGTTAATCAATCAAATCAGATTTTTCATTTAAATCAATGATGTAGGTGGCGCACAAGAGAGGAGAGAAATGTGGAGTTGTTTGCAATTCAAAATTCCCAACAACCTACCTTTGAATCCTCATGATGAGACTAGGTCTCTACCTAGTCAAAATTCAGATCCAATGACCATCATATGGCCAGCCATTATGTGCCCCTATTCAGCCCCAAAAGGGGTCCAGATTCGTTGAGCAGTTGCATTCAAATTTGAACCAACTCACTCACTGATTCTCTCAACCAACCAAATCTGATTGGAGCTTGTTTGGTTGACTAGATGACACTCATCATCCATCCTGTAAGAACCGCACCGTTAATTACGGTATTTAATTAATTAATTATGAAAAAATAGGAAATGATTCCATAATTGACCCTAATAATTATTTATGAGGCTTAATAATCATAATAAGTGATTAAGAATGCTGAAAGTCGCTTTTCGGAAGAAAAGTGCAGATACCGGTTCTGCTAGTCAGTATAAATGCGTACCGAAAAAATATCCCGAAAAATTAAAGTAAGTGCATGATAATTACTAGAATAATATGTAGGACTTGCAAAACGAGTTTCAAGTCCAAATAATGAGAACTGGTGCTAGAAACCGGTACTGGCTTTGAAAAGCGCGTACCAGAAAATTGCTCAGAAAAATATAAGAAAAATATGATAAATCTTAGAAAATTATGTAGTTTCATAATCCAAAACTTGGGATTAATATGCTAAGCGTAGCAATTAAAGTTAATAATGTGCGCTTGCTTGGTCGAACTGAGAGCTGCTCGGGAATATCTTTTCTGAGAGCAAGAGTGCAGAGTAATAATCAGGATTGCCAACAGGAACAATCTATTCTGACTAAGAGCAACCCTCTTCAACTATACGCAAGCGTACGTGTCAAGCAATATAGGGTATTGTAGCCCCAGATTTATCGTCCTCAGGGAGCAGTTGTGAAGTAAGAAACGCTAAAGGAAACTTAATTTGTAAAATGGAGCAATAAAAGAAAGTACTATTCTCAGCTAAGCTTCACAAAGAGCAATCTCTGGGAAGCTAGTTAAACAATGTTAACCACTCTGAACCAGATGAGCGCAGTGAATGACTTAGCACGGTCATCGAATAAAAAAAAACATCAATTTAAGTAACTTCAAGAGCAGTCAATGAAATGAAAGTAAGAGCATCAGCTGGTAAAACACAGTTTAGTTATCGTGAGGGAAAGGTTGTGATAGAAGTTTGAATTAAGATTAATTTCAGAAAAAGTCAAGTAGGTGTCACGGGTCCATGTTTTCATCCCTTTGGTTATCCCTGCTTGGTAGCATATTTTACAAGTGGATTTTGCTCCTTCCCTTGTTTTGCTATAGGTAAGCAGAGGGCAGGGCCCTACTCTCCACGTTACTCCATAGTACTTGGAGTTATATGCAAGGAAACCATGCTGTCTTCTCAAAAGAGCATGGATTCACATGGCAGTGCTCCCCATTCCAGGTGTTTCTCCCTCCTTTCTTCAGGCTAAACTACCCCAGGATTTTGAGAATGCTCCACACGCCTTTGTCAGTGTTTCATCAACTGAGTGGACCCGGGATGAGGTTGCCAGCCCAAAGGGTTTCACAAAATCAATAAATTAAACCAAAGAGCAACTCAAAATTCATTTATAAAATATGTGTTCCTTACAAAGTTATCCTAAGACAAAAGGGATTACTTCTATGGAACCCTCACCTACTTAGAGGAAGTTAGCTCCTAGTGAGCATTTTTACAAAAAGAAAACAAAGAGATAACGAGTCCTAGGATGGGCGCTGATGATCCCCTTTATGAGGATTGCTTGTTACTTTTATAGGGTTCTTCATTTGATCTCCATTGTTCCTTTCATCAAGGGTCATGCTTTGTCTAAATCCTCTCCTATCGTAGCCTTGCTTCATGCCAGCTTGGCCTTAAATGGAAGTGGTCCCCCTTGCTTTTGGCTCCCTTTGTGAGTAGGAGTATCGGATTCAGGGAGGCACTTCCACTCCTTCTGCTGCAGCTGACGTGGCTGCTTTTGATTGCTCAGCTCTCTTGCTTCCGTACTGTAGCAGAGGTAGCACCTCCACCTTCTCTGTTGTGGCTGACGTGGCGGCTTCCCATTGCCTTCTTTGATTGCTGTTGTACTACAGCAGGTTTTTCCTTTCTGCGCAACCCTCCTTCCTCTCTCTTCATTTTGTGGTTCCTTCTGATGGCCTTAGGTGTCCTGAACAAAGCAAACTAACCCAATAGTCATATGTGAAAAAGATAATGTTAAATTTGCTCCAGATCTACCTTAATTCCCATTTTCGGTATTGCTCTGGTCCACTATTCAAAACAGTTGCTCTATTTGGAAAGAAGAAGGTTGAGGGGAGTGATTTATAACCAAACATGGGTTTTGTGGAACAATTTACACTTAATGGGCCTCAACTTTTGAGGACCATCATCACCCCAAAACTAGATATTACTTGTCCCGAGTAATCCTTCACAACCAACAGTCTTCTTGTGACAGGTTAATGCTCCTTGAGATTATCGATTAAGAGTTAACTTAACTCCTTCTCTTGCTTCATTAGAGCACTCATCTGACTTGTGAGTTTCACCAGCTTCATTGTGTGTGTGACCTCTTCCACTCTTTTAGTCAGTTTCCCACAGAGTTGCTTTCGGATTGAACTTTTTGGCTTGATTTCTTCTCTTACTTCCTAGCTCCCTTCTCTATTTCTTTATTTTCGGGTCTTTTAACTGGAAGACAATTACCCTCGTCTTTGCGTAGGGCTGACCTTCAACAGCATGCTCTTTGAGCGGCTCCTGCTCTCAACTTGATGACTTGAGCTCTTTGAGCGAAAAATTTTTTGGAGCAGAGGAGCTGACCCTTCTTGTTCTTCTTTTTTTTTTTTTTAAATTAGGGGCAGAGTAATTTATTTGAACAGTCTGAAGTTCTTTCCTTGGTAACTCAATAAGTCCACTGAATAACAGAGTTTCCGATTTTTGGAGTGCTGCTTTTTGTGCATGGTGTTGCTCCAAATCAGAGTGATGCTCTATGTTGCTTTGTTAGAAACTGTAAACTCTTTAGGGCATCTGAAGGAGAAAAATCCTGGGCAAAAAGAATCATTCAGTAGATCAGGACACTTAGGACGGTAAACTTTAGCAAGAGTTAAAAACAATGAAAAAAATAAAATAAAACAGGGTGGCGAATCCCTGGTACACCGCAGAAGTCATTTATCTAAGAGCAAAGTCAGTAACATTCCACCACAGAACTTTTCATGCATTCATTCCAACAGATTTAAACAAGTTAAAAAGAATAAGGAACGAATGAACCTGGGGTCACCATAGTGACCCTTAATGCTCTCCAGTTTCTTGTCTTGCTCCGCTAAACGGAGCATTTGTTATTGCTTCTGGAGGGAAGACATTTGGAAACGGTGGATATGGAGTTTGTCCCTTGAATTTTTCTCCCCAGTTACTGGCGAAGATTTGATCCCGAGCTCTGTAGTACAATCGGAGTTGAATTTCCTCCTCTTTGCTTTTCATCAATTCATCTTTCAAGAGCCTGATCTCCTCCTTCCAGTATTTTCTGTTTTTTTCGTGGGCTTGCTCCCTCTCTTCCATTTTCTTGTTCATCATCTCCACTGCTTTCACCAGGTCTTTCACCGTGTTTTGCAAGGTTGAGGATCCCTCTCCTTCCTCGATCTTCCTTTTCAAAGGCAATAGTCCAGCATTTTTTATCTGGTCAAGTTCATTCTGCAGGGCCACCTTTTCTTTGTTAATGAGCAAGCTAGCTTCTTTCAGAGATTGCAGCTCCCTTCCAACTGTGTCTTCTAAGGCTTGCACTTGAGTGGCTAGAAGGTCTGCTCCGAGACCGAACATAGTTTGACATTGAGTCATGTTAGTTGTCTCGACTAGGAACTGTCTTCGTCCACTCTTTGCAGGAGCTCTCTTAAAGGGAAGTTTTTCCCTTCTTGGAGTTTTCTGAGGTTCTTCCTTCACATTGCCCGAAACTTCAGCTTCTTCTTCTTCCTCATTTCCTTCTTTTTCTTCTTTCTCTTCTTTTTCTTCTTCCTCCTCACTTTCCAATCCTTCATTATCTCTGATTCTTTTTATCGTGGACTGATCAATGTCCGACCCTTCTGGAATGATTTCATCCGAAATCGGGATATTGGCCTTTAGACCAGACCTCTTGCACATTTCAGTGACCAGACAAGGGAAAAAAAAGGGAGTTTCTTGGTGCATTTGCCACTAGTTGTTTGTAGACAATCCTCCCAACATCAAACTTCTTCTTAGTCAAGATGCAGAAGACCAGCACTGTTCTTTCCCAGTTTACTCTAGAGTCATTGCTCACGGGAATCAGACGGGAGTTAATAAAATGCATCCATACCTTTGCTTCGAATTTGAGTTGCTTCATAGGGATGGATTCCTTGGTTCCCCAGGTTGCTTCTTCTGAGCCTATTTCTCGGAGCACTTCTCCAGTTATGGCCTCATCTCCTCGGCCAGCACAGTATCTATCAAACTCATCTTGTTCAGCAGGAACTGAAGCAGTGTTATATGCTTCGTTGATTTCTTCAGGGGAGAAGTCTACTTTCACGCCTCTGATGAGGAGTTTTGGGAGGTCTTCTTTCTTCATCCCCTCCAAGAATGCAGTCCCGAACTTGGTGCGAGCTCTTGAGGGAGGCTCAACGAAGAGTTCCCAATCCAGTTCTGCTATATCCTTGGTCAGCCACCGGTCGAGATCTCCGTGTTTGGAGCTACTGAGGACTATGCCCCGTTCTAGTATGACTGTGCGGTCGACTGTGGTTTGCTCAGGCTTGAGCTTTTTCCCTGTTCGGGTCCTCTTCTTGGAGATAGAAGCAACAGGTATAATGGTCTTTGGACGTGTCATGGCGTAATGTTCTGAGTAGGAGGGATGGTGTGAGGAGTAAAGGTTGGATTTTGTGGGTTGAAGGAGAAAAGATTATGAGAATGAAATAATAGTTCTGAGTTTGCTTATAAAGGTAAGAAGGAGAGGATGGGAAGGTTAAAACGCTCTGTATGGTGGTGATCGTGGCTTTGCTGAGTGGTGGATATGGGGGGAAAGAGCGTCTACTGCACATAAATGCCTGGGGGAAAACAACTGTCCTCTGCTCTGACGGTTTCTTCTTTTTGAAACTGCTACTCTCGCTTGATTGGAGGGATGTGACAGCACGACGTGGAGCTGTTATCCTTCCGTTGCTTCCGCCACTCGGTTTCCTCTCTCTTTTTTCGCATGCGGCCCATTGCAGGCCCTTGGGTTAAAAGGGACAAGTGGAGCAACCCAATTAGAACTTGGTTTCAACATTGAGGGATCAAATTCTAAGTGTTGGTTGCTCTTTGCTTTTGGGATCAGGCTGCTCGAGAGCAACCCCAAAACTAGCATCCTGCAATGGTTAGCACATTAATTTTTTTCAAACAAAGACAATAATAAAAAGAATGACGTAGAAATAAATCTGGGTTGTCTCCCAGTAGCGCTTCGTTTATAGTCTTAGCTCGACTTGTTGCTCCTTGGGTCAGACTTCAGCTGGGTCATCGAGATGAGAAGTCAGTTTCTCATGCTCCTTGATCCCTCTATTATACTTTTTGAGTCTGTGTCCATTTACCCTGAGCGTTGCTCCAGATGTTTCATGAGCAATGGTAAATGCTCCATTGGGAAGTGCTTAAGTGATTGCATAAGGTCCCTACCATCTTGATTTCAACTTTCCAGGAAACAGTTTTAATTTGGATTGATACAGCAGCACTTTATCTCCAACTTCTAACTCTCTCTTGATAAGCTTTTTGTCGTGCCACTTTTTCATCTGCTCCTTGTAGAGGTTGGCGTTTTCATATGCCTTGCTCCGGAATTCTTCCAGTTCAACCAACTGGAGCAGCCTCTTTTCCCCAGCCATTCTGGAATCCATGTTTAGCAATGTGATGGCCCAGAATGCTTTGTGTTGAAGTTCCAGAGGCAAGTGACACGCTTTTCCAAATACCAACTTATAGGGGGAGCAGCCAATGGGCGTTCGATAAGCTGTTCGATATGCCCATAGGGATTCATCCAATTTGTTGGACCAATCTTTTCTATCTGGGTTTACGACCTTTTCCAGGATTTTTTTTATCTCCCTGTTGGACACCTCTACCTGCCCGCTGGTCTGTGGGTGGTAAGGGGTGGCAATTTTGTGCTGCACTCCATATTTCTTCAGGAGCAATTGGAATTGTTTGTTCACGAAATGTGTACCCCCGTCGCTGATAATTGCTCTAGGGGTTCCAAATCGAGTGAAAATATTCTTCTTGATGAACTTCAGCACTATCCTGGCATCATTGGTGGGGGCAGCAACAACTTCTACCCATTTCGACACATAGTCAACTGCAACAAGTATATACTTGTTTCCAAAGGAAGGTGGGAAAGGCCCCATGAAATCAATGCCCCATACATCGAACAATTCAACCTCCATTATTGGGACAAGGGACATTTCATGTTTTTTTGTAATGTTCCCTGTTCTCTGGCACCTGTCACATTTTTTAACAAAAACATTAGCATCTTTAAACAAGGAGGGCCAGTATAGACCTGACTGCAGCAGTTTAGCTGCTATTCTTGCTCCAGCAAAGTGTCCTCCATAAGAGGAGTTGTGGCATTGCTCCAGTATTTTCTGTTGTTCTTTTTCAGGGATACACCGTCGAAGTAATTGGTCAGAACACCTTTTGTAGAGCAAAGGGTCATCCCAGAAATACTGCTTAGCTTCGTGATGGTCATCAGCTGCTCATCAGGGAATGTCTCCTTGATATGATCTCCTTCTTGTGGGCTTGCCC